AGGCAATTGATGATTGGACCGGTGCCACAACAACAACAAAACGGTGCCCAGTTCGCAGTCGACACGAGCATCGTGCCGCGCCCCACGCGTGACGCTGCACTATGCTCCCGCCGCGACCCTGCGCGGCCCGTTGCGCTGCTACCCTGAGCTCTCGCGGTCCCCTTGTTGTCGCCTAGTGGTCCTAGGAGTTGAGGTTGGCGGGCGCTGGAGCTCGGAGACGACTTCTTGCGGCAACTTGCTGGGGCCAATGCCAGGGACACCCCAGCGCCCACCCAGGTCGCCCGTGGCCCTGTGCCCGATCTCAGTGAAGTCTTTGCGGACTGCCGTTGTCCTTTTCTCGACTTGCTGGCAAGCCGACTGCGGCACGCCCCTAGCCCGCTGGCGTGTGGTGTGTGCCTTCTGCGACGTCGTCTGGTGCCCGAAGGCGGGCTTTCCCGCCTTGAGGGGCAAAGCCGTGTGGTGCTCGGTGGGGCTGGGTCGTTTTTTTTGTTTTTTTTTTAAACTTGTTGTCCTCCAAAGGACGTCACGTGGAGTCCGGGCCGAGCCCCGGTGCCCCGCGCTTAGCACGTCGTGCCAAGGAACGCACATACGCAGCTTTTTCGGCCAGCTTGGTTGTCCTTGCACTTGAAGTTTGCGGAGTTTTCAGCCGGTAACTATGCTATTGTCCCAGTCTGGCCGCCTACATCCCAAGAACTCATCATAGCCAGCGCAGTTCCGATTGATCTTGGCTTTGTTTTTCACGGCCTTTGCTGCCCGCACGTTGCGCTTGCGGCGGGCAGCGTGCCCGAACGCTGTTGCGTTGCGAGCGCGAGGGGGGGGCCGCTTGCACGTGTGGCTGCACGTGTGTGTCGTGAGGCTGGGGCGCTGGTCACCACCCACACCCTTGTCAAAAATTGAGGTCATTGGCAACGGGTAAGCGGATGGTTTGTTGCCGTGCCGCCTCCTTTGTCCGGGCGCCATAGCTGGATCTTCGTTGTTCGCCTCCTACACACGGAAAAGGTGTGGCAAACACCTTGCTCCACCTGCTCCATGCCTTGTCCGGGGTTCATAAGGCGTCGGCGGCCTCCGCGCTGTGGGTGTTTGGGCGCCTCTCATCCCCGGACGGGTTACGCGCGTGCCTTTGCTCAAGAGGCGCTGCTGCAACTTTTCTTGGGCGACCGGATGCCCAGCTTGCTCAGCGCGTTGCTTCTATCCGCCCTGGACTCTCCGAACCGGTGGGCCAGCCCCCGCCCTTGCCTCGCCAGGCTGCTTTCGCTGCTTCGCCCTGGACTTTCCGGGCGTGCGCCCTTGCCACACCAGGCGGACCAGCCACTTCCTGAACCTGAAAACCAGCTCCCGCCCTCGCCGCCCAGCTGTCGGCGGCGGCCTTCCCCGCGTGCCGTGGACGCAGTCCCCATCACTCCCGCTGTGCTTCCCCATGGGCCTGTCGCCGGCCCGTCTGTTCTGCCACCGTCCCACCCAGCGTCTGACACTGCGGACGCTGCCGCCAATGTCGCCGGCGCGCCTGTAAACCCCTCCGAGTTCCAGGAGCCACCCCGGCTCCACAGCGCCGCGATCCGAGCGGCCCTGCGGACTCTGGACTCCGTGGATTTGTCCGAGTGCTTGTCTCGTAAAGTCCTTGTTTTGCAGTCTCCCCCCGCTTTTGCGAAAGGGCAGCCATTGTCCTTGTTTTGCAGTCCTTGTTTTTGCTTCGGCTGGCATTGAGCCTTGCGTTGGAGGCCATTGAAGATGCTGGACAAGACGCTGTTGCTCTGTCCCGTGCCTGGGCTCTTTGGCTCTTGCTGCCCCGCATGTTGCTTTGCCGCCTTCCGTGTGCTTCGCAAACCTAAGTGGCGCGACCGCGTCTCCGCTTTCAATGCTGGCCGCTGGGCACACCTTCTTGCCCAAGCCGACTGCCGGGGTGATGGCTTCGGCCCCCGAGGCCGCCCCAGCCGCTGTAACGCCCAGCGCGCTGCCAAGCGCTGACCGGCGGGCCGGGCCCTTGTCCGCCTGGGGGAGCTGTCGGCGGCCGCCAGCTCCGCTGAGGCAACCCTTGCCGAGCTTCGCGACCCTGAGCGCCGCCGTCCGAGCCTTACGGGGACACGCCCTGCTCCAGTTTCAGCCGGAGTCCCCTGCCTGCTTGCCGCCCGGCTTGCTGCTCGCCAACCTCCGGCGCGCCCGCAAAGGCACTGGTGCTGGGCCTTTTGGTCGTACTGCTGAGTGTTGCCGTGCTGTCCTGGACAACGAACGCACCAGCCAGCTTTTTGTCCGGGCCGTCCAGGCCCTGGCTCAGAAGCCCAACGGCCGGGTTCGAGGGATTGTTGTCAGTGACTTTTTGAGGCGCCTGGTCCAAGAAGCTTGCGCGCCCTTCCCGTTTGGTTTGTCCACGCGGGCTGGCGCTGAAGCAGTTGCCCACGCCTTGTCCTATGCTACCGAGTCGGATCCGGACTCTACTGTGTTGTCTGTCGATGGCATTGGCGCTTTTGACTCCGTCAGCCGCCAGGCCATGTTGCACGCTTTGCGTTGTTGCAGCTCTGGTCGCTCGGTGGTCTGCCCTGCTTTCCTTCGCGGCCCAGCTTTCCTTTGCCTTGTCCTTGCTGGAAGGGCGGGTCGCTGCTGGCCAGTCCAACTTCGGTGGGCCCTGCCCCGACTGGAGTATGCTGCTCGCGGACTCCACTTTCCTGCCGCTCACTGGCAGCCGTCTGCCTCGGTGACGGCTTTTTGGTCCGGGGGCCACCGGGATAAGAGCCGGCCTCCGAAAAAAAAAAAACTCCTTGTGCCCGGGGCATCCCTTAAAATAATATTCTACGATTTTTGTTAAGGTGGCAGGGCGGTGGGGGGGCCGGGAAGGCCGGACATGAAACACAAGGAGGTCGTGTTGGTCTGGGGTTCCGACTCCGGGACCACGAATTGTCCTTACGAGCCTGCATTGGCTTCTTCGATTATTTTGGCAGATGCCAAATTCCTGTTGTCAAGGCCCAAGCCTGCTTGTTGACCAGCAGTTTATTTTCCACAAAGTGCACGCCAAACTGGTTGTTGTCGGGCCTCGGCTCTTTGGCAGCTTCGCCATGCTTGCGGTCAGCCACAGCCGCCACGCTCACCGTGTCTGGCGCCGCCGTCCTGGCCTGAGCTCCTCCAGACCTCTCCCTGACGAGAGTGACGGCCTTTTTGTCACGGGCGACCTGGCCGTGGCTGGCAGCGGCAAGCGACTGCTGTCGTTGCAAGCGACTGCTGCCGTTGAGGACCGAGTTTTTCAGGGCTTGTCCGCCGGCCTCGGCCCTGCAGCCCTCGCTCTGCTGGCCCTGTCACTGAAAACACGCCGGTGCCATCGCCCTTTGGATCCTCTTAGCGACCATGGCGCGGCGCTCGTTGAAGCCCGCCTGCTTTTCCGGGCCCACCGGTGCCGCCTCGCTGTCCTCGCTCTTGAGGTCGGAGGCCGGTGGAGCGCTTCCCTTCGCCCACTTGGACCGGAGGGCCCTTGAGACGCTATTTAGAACTCGATCCAGCGTCTCGGGCCTTGCTGCTGTCTCAAGCTGGGCCGGGCGGTAGCGTTGCCGCTGCCGCGCTGCCGACTCGTGACGAGTTCAGGCTTCAGGACGACACGTTTCGATGTGTCCTGCTCCGTCGCCTGCGCCTGCCGCTGCCGCTGGAGCCTCGGGCATGCCTGCCCCACCGCTGGCGTGCTCGTCCGCCGCGCGGGCCCGCTCGAGCGCGCCGTCGCCCGGGTTTGTCGCGAGGCTGGCGCGCGGGTAGCGACGAACGTTTACCTCAACCTCGGCATGCCGTTGTCCGACGGGCGACGGCTCGAGGTTGTCGCGAACGGGCTTCCCGGTTTCGGCGGCGTACAGGTTGCGGTCGACGCGACGCTTGTGAGCCCAGTGCGGCGCGATGGGACCAACCGACCCCGCGCCGACGCCGAGCCCGGCCTCGCCCTGCGGGAGGCAACAGACCACAAGCGCCGGAGCACCTAGGGCGCGGCGCGGTGCCGCCTTGTTGTCGTCGCCCTCGAGGTTGGGGGGCGCTGGGGGGACGAGACGGAAGCCTTCCTGCACCGCCTCGCGAGGGGCAAGGCCCTCGCCAGCCCCGAAGACCAGCGCGGAAAGGTTGCCGCCGCACTCGCGCGCCGGTGGGGGCAGTTGCTGGCTGTCGCGGCGCAGGGCGCGCTCGCGGCCAGCCTCAGCTCGCTTCCTCCCGACGCTGGCGACGCCGCTGCTGGGGCGCCGCCGCAGGGCGACGTCATCTGCGACGATCGCTGGGCGCCGGACTCGTGAGGGCCCTTGTGTTTCACCCCGGCTGGATGGAAAAAGGCGTGTGAGAAAAAAAGGAAAAGATGTAGACATTCGTGTGTATCCTGAGCCGGGCTGGTGGCATGAGGAGGCTGCGTCCTTTATCCGCCTCCTTGCTCCGGGAGGTTTCCCCCGCGCCTGTCTGTTTGCCGTGGCGCCTTGCAGCGGGGTCTCGGCAACTTGTGCGACTAGGGCCGGCAGCCGCTGCTCTTCTTCTACAAGCGCGCGCCCCGCCGATTCTTCCGTGTCCCCGCGCATGTGCACCACGGTGTGTCCGCTTGTGGCTTGCTGCCTGGGACACCTGCTTGGCGGCCTGGACGAACCGCCGCGCAGCCCCCAGGAATGAGGCCTCGTCCTCCGTTCTGCCCAGTCGTGACCGATGTCTTCCTGTACCGCCGTGCCTCATCTTCGGGCTGTGGCCCGCAGTAGCATGCAGTGCCGCTCGTCAGCGCTGCTCGCGAACCGAAGTTTCAGCACGCTCAGCGGTGCCGCCTGACAGTGCCAGCCGTGTTCTTGTTTCTTTGCCTTTCAAGACATGTATTGCTCAGGGAGATGATCTCTGCCGGCAGTTGTTGCGACAACAACGCTGGCAGTTCTGTGCCTCCATCCCTCGCCCGCATATGAGATTGTTCGTGGGGCAGTTGGGCTCCAGTGTGTGGTTGCCAAACTAGTGGCCAAGCTGGCAATGTTTTCTTTTGGGCTTACGACACACAAGAGACAATTCAACTGCTTTTAGGCAAAGGACACTGGTGCAGCTCCTGGCATGAGCTATGCCTTTTGTGGCTGAGAGCCATGCCAACCATCAGCTTCTTGCTTGCATTGTTGCTTGTTGGAGTGCTTGCACGGGGTAGCAATTCCTCCAGCAGAAGCTGTTTTCTTAGGTGAGCAAAAGCGGCGGAAGCCGAAACCTCCAGAAGAGAAGTGGTGGCGGGCCCAAGCATGAAATCTGAGCTTTGTTTCTTTGACGCGCCATTCCTCCCTGCATTAGTCACCTTCCTGACAGTCTTGTTTCCCAAAAAAACTGGGGCCCCCAAGCTACCAAATGGATGTCTCACTACATGCTTCACTACTTGCATTTGTGTTGCATGTATACACTACCGCAGGCCTTGAGCCTCAGCCTACCCCTGGATAAAACAAAAGGCTGCAGCAGACTACATTTGTGTGTTAACAACAACAGCATTGCACTTGCACTTGTAGAAATTGTAACTCCGCTTTTTTACGTGGTAGCGGAGCTGAGATCCTAAACATAGGGCAGCTCCAGTATTCAGCAGTAAGTACAACAACCACTGCAACAGCAATTACATGCCAAACCACTACGACATGTCAGGAGAAGCAGCATCAGCTTCAGCACAACAAACTGCAGGAGCAGAGAACGGGCCAACAGCAGAAACAGTAGGAGCCACGACTACGGGAGCAGGAGCAGAACAAGACAACGACCAAGCTACAAGCACACCTCGGCCTCATAGACCGAGACTTCGACCTGGTGCTACAACTGGCGCAGGTAGCTACACGACAGATTGAGGACACAGACATCAGGACACACATACTTGATCCTACACAAGCAAGCAAAGCAGTAGACCTCTCCCGAGATCTACACGACATCCTCATCAACATCTGTCAGGGAGCAGCAGCTACAGTAGTAAGGCAAAACCGCTACAACGCAAATGGATGTGAAACACTGCGACTCTTGCACAACAGGTTCAGCCTATGAGTAGGAACACGAAGAGTTGGCTACCTTGCCAAGCTACTGGAACCTACACTCAATGATGCACAGTTTGAAGAGCAAGTCCTACAATGGGAATACGACATCAACCGCTACGAGAAAGACAGCGGCGCAGCACTACCAGATGGAGTAAAAATCGCAATACTACTCAACAAGACCAAAGGAGCACTGCAACAACATCTCCAACTGCGAGCTGGACAGATCACGAACTACATCAAGATCAGAGCAGTCATCCTGGACTACTACAAGACGATTTCAGCTTTCTCAAGATCGACTTCAGCAGTCGGCGCAAACAAGAAACAACAAAGGCAAGGGAAAAGGCAAAGGCCACTACAAAGGAAGCAAAGGCAAAGGCAAGTACAGGAGCAAAGGACACTACAAGGGATCGACAAAGGCAACAAAGGAAGCTACAACAAAGGAGGATACAACAAGAGCAAAGGAAAAGGCTACTCAGGATCCAAAGGCTATGGATCAAGCAAGGGCTACAAAGGCCAAGGAATCTAGCAAAGCATGACATGCCACCGATGTGGCAAGCCTGGCCATTGGGCCCAGGGCTGCAGAGTGCCTGTATGGCACATAGGAGAAGGAGAAGAACTACATTCACTAGAACAAGAAGAAGCAGATCAGGACAACCATGCAGAACTACCCCAGGATGTGAACGACACTTGGGACTGGTACTCGAAGGAGAAGAAGGACAACACGAGGTAAACTACATGGAGGAGAATTGGAACGACTACGACTATGACAACAGCTGGGATTGGAATGACAACAACTACGAAGACACGGCAAACTACATTGGAGGCATCAACGAGTCACACCTCACCATTGGACACATCAGACAAGCAAAGTCACTACTTCACAAGCGCAAATCCAAATCACTACTTGGAAAGAACACAACACACACAACATCATGGAACGACCACAGCAAGAGCTTTCAACAATTCCCCCAAGAAGGCGCAACACAACTGCACTTCGACATAGCAGCAGCAACACAACAGCAAAGGAACAAGAAGATTGAGGACACAATCACACACTACATCATGTATTCCAACTTCAAGTCACACCATCACCTGCTGATCGACTCAGGAGCATCTACACATGTTTGCCCGAAGGACTACGCGCCAGACCTACCACTACGACCTTGTGGAGAATCACTTCCAAAACTCTACACGGTTACCAACAAGAAGATTCCTGTCTACGGCATCAAGTATGTTCCCTACAAGCAGGACAACTTCAGGATCACCCTACTACGTTTGTGATGTGAAGTATCCTATCCGCAGTGCATCAAGACTACTTGATAGAGGATATGGACTCGACTTCAATCCACGACACTGCACCATCACACATGGGTCACAACAAGCACACCTCATAAGACACTCACTCTTCTACCTACGAGCAGAGAAGATCCCTACCCAATGACTACAAACAATGGAAAATCCATTGCTGTGATTCAACCTACAGAGAAATCAAAACAACAACAAGAACAAATTGCACCACTCACACACACAGATCAAGGACTGCGACAGATCCTTGGTGGAAACACAGACTACTGGAAACTTGATGGTGGCTACGCCGTCAGAGTTCACAAACGACCACGCAAAGCACTTTTCACACCACACAATAGCGGCTGCCCAATACCAGAAGAAGGCTAACCACACAACACTTAGAACCACAATATTTACTCCAACAGATGGACCAGGACATCCACCAATTAGCACTTGAACCTCACAGAACAACGATCACTCACAACTTTGGAGAAGTTTCGAAACGCAAAGATGACTGGACAGTCATGGGCAACGCAAGGTTCACCGTGAAGAAAGACTACGAGTACATCCAGGAGAACCATGATGAGGAACAACAACATGAGCATCATGAAGCCATAGAGCAAGAGGACTACGACAACCACAGCAACCAACTCCACAACAAATAGCAGAACACAACTTGACACAGCTACCATACAGAAATTGGTGTCCTATTTGCGTGCAAGGCAAGGGACGCCAAGACAACTACAAGAAACAACAGTCACGACAACCCGTCATTCAAGTAGACTTTGCCTACATCAAATCAACAAGATCCAAAGACCATACCAGTATTGACAGCAGTTGATGTTACTACACAGCTGTGTATGGCAGTAATGGTCCCGGACAAACCATCAATGATGGACTACAAAGCATTCATGTTTGAGTGCGGAAGAACACAAGGCATACTACAAAGTGACAACGAAGACACACTCTACGCACTTCTAAAAGCTACAGCAGCCAAAGTTGGCTCAATGACTGTTCGGCATGCACCCTCCTACAGCAGCAACAGTCAAAGAAGCGTTGAACGACTACATCGAACACTCCTCGGACAGGTACGCGTTGTCAAAGCGCAAGTTGAAGGCAACCACAGCATGACAATGTCCACGAAGCACTGTCTACTACCTTGGATAGTACGACACGCAGCATGGACGGTAAATCGCTACGTCATCCACTCAGACGGCTACACAAGCTTCGAAAGCCCCTGGGGTAGAAACTAGAGCGGGCAATTTGCGAATTTGGCGAAACCCTACTTTACCTTCCACCACAACACAAGAAACTTCCAAAAGCAGACCTACGGATGCAGAAATGCATCTGGCTCGGAAAAGTTTCCGAAACTGGAGAAAACTACGTCGCAACGGAAACAGGCGTACAAAAGGTACGAACAGTATGGAGACAAGCAGACTTCAAGTACGATCTCGTACTGCTAAACAAAGTTTCCGGCACACCTTGGGCGCCACGACGGAGCACTTACAACCCGTCATTTGCAACACTGTTGGACACGCAACTACGATCGTCAGAGAAGAGACGATCTACGCAAGACTTCGGACAACAGACGAACGTGACGGACGACATCGTCGTGGAACCCGCAACCAAACAACAACGTACTACACCACCTCCACGACTTCCGTCGACATGGATGCCAAGTTCACGACCGCTACCGGATAGCCCTATGGCTACTTCACCAACCGGACGGCAACATCCACCACTACCAGCACCACCTCGACAAACACTAAGACGCTTGACTCCGGAAGAAGTACTGCAACCAACCAAAGCACAGAAGACCTCAATCAGATCAACGGGACAAGCAACCAAAGAACCACAACCACTACGACAGAAAATTAACGCAGTGACACTTCCCAACGGAACATCCATCACTCCCTACACGAACGACGACACCTCCGAAGACCAACCTAGAATCTTCGACAACGAAGGTTACGACGAAACACAACTACTGGGGAATGAAACACGAGTCAAACCAAATGAAACTACATGACGTCTACGACGAAGTAGATACGTCGACGACAACGTCATCAGAGAAGCAATACCTACAAGATGGGTCCACAGAAAGAAAGGACCAGGAGCACGAAGCCGAATCGTCGCAAAAGGCTACACGGAGAAGATTGAGGGCGAAGACTCCGTCTACGCCTCTACACCATTGTTCACGACACTACGGACACTTCTCGCACTACACATGTCACGACCAAATTGGATCGCGCGACTAGGCGACGTCTCTACAGCATTTCTACACGCACCCATCGCAAAGGACCACGGCGGTAAACAACGTGACGTCTACCTTGGCCACCTAAAGAACTTTGTCCACAACAGGACAAAATATGGCGGCTAAAGAAAGCCATGTATGGACTACGCAGTTCACGTAAAGCATGGCGGACTATTTGGCTGAAGTACTACACAGGCTCAGCTTTGTAAGACGAAAGTCGGAACCTAACGTCTACACCAATGCGACTCGGGACTGCTACATCATGGTGTACGTGGACGATCTACTGGTACTTGGAGACAAGACTACAACAGCGTGAGCTACTGAGGATCCTACCTCTTTTCTTTTTCACTACTGTAGCATAGTGCACAACAAGAGTTTTCATCACTACTGGCAATCCTTTGTTTTCCGCTCCAGTTAGAAAGATACTACTGAAAGATCCTTCAACTGAGGGGCCGTGTCAAACTACATGCTTCACTACTTGCATTTGTGTTGCATGTGTACACTACTGCAGGCCTTGAGCCTCAGCCTGACTACACCTGGATAAAACAAAAGGCTGCAGCAGACTACATTTGTTTATGTTAACAACAACAGCATTGCACTTGCACTTGTAGTAATTGTAACTCCGATTTTAACAATAGAGAAAGAGAGAGAAAAGAAAGAGATAAAAAGAGAGAAAAAGAGAGAACAAAAAGAGTGAGAGAGAGAGAAAATACCAAATAACCAAATGAGGGGTAGCTGAATTCGAATGCATTTTTTCCGCACCGAGGTGGGAAAAGGCGCCCACGCTTCCCGGTGCAAGCTGCACCCCTGCGCAACGGCGGTTGGCTGACAAGGACCGGGAATTAGAAGCCGGGACGTGGCATCGGAAAAAAATCCAAGGCGTAGAGTCTTACTGTAGTCAGAGGCTGTCATTTTTTTTCTTCTTTTGGTATCATGGTTGCCTTGCAATTTGGGCCCCTGTGTTTGTTTTTCACTGAGTGTCTGAGAAAGCAAGGCTCTACATGTAGTTGGTAGGATCGTACCAGTTGCGGTTAGAGAAGCTGCAAGGAAACTGCTAGGTTTTGTTTGCCTTCAACAGGTGCTGATACCCTTTGCATCTGACGGTGTGGTTACAAGGGTGCGCTGCTTGTGCACGGCCAGGAACGCTACACAGGCGTATGCCGACTGCTTCAGGCCTGATGTTTGCTCGTTGTGGTTCCCAGCTGCGAGCCCGCAATGCTGAGAAAGCGAATGATTTTATGGAAAGCGTTGCCACGGTCTGTATTGAACCAATGAGGATCTCCGCAAGTGTTCCTTGCGGTCACTCCAGAAGCAAAGGGGCTGAGTGATCGCCTAGTGCACAAGCGGAACGCTGGGAGTTCGAGTGAGGGCTCAAGGTGCGGCGTGTGGCGCCACGGATCATTGTAGCTTGGCTTCGTCTTGGCAAGAAAGGTGCCCATACCAATGCTGTCAACCATGGAAATTTCCATGAGAATTGGGGGATTGAGCCCATGACGCACCGTTCTCGAGTAAAACTTTAGATGTCAGACTTGCGCTGCGTGCCTTCCGACTCGGATTGGTTTCGCTTTCAGGGGGAGGTGACATGATGGTCGGTTCCTTGATGTGGTTGGACACGAAAGTGTTGGTTAGCCGAATCTGACCTATTTTCCTGTCCAGTTTGCTCCTTTCTTGAGGAGTCATGTGGCTGATGCGATGCATGCCAGCATGGAAGCAATGAGAAAGAATGCGCTACAGCCTCCAAAGCTCAGAATGGAACCAGGAAAGGCAGGTGTTATTTAATATTCCAAAAAAGGAAAAGCACACAGTTTACTATTTTTTTTGTCTTTTGCGAGGTTTTCCGGCGCAATTGTCCGCAAGCATTGCTTTACTTGCTGAGTATGCAGTGTGCAGTATCATCACGCCCCCTCATCCTTATCCTCATCATCCTGATCATTCTTTGAGGCTTTGCCACCTCAGTTCGGCACGCACAGCCAAAGTCCCGCAACACTTTTGCAGGTCAGCAGCCTCTCGCGGATCGGAGTGGAAGCTGGCGACTTTTGCACCAGTGGAGCACTCAAGGTTTAGTCGGGTGGGGTAAGAGGAATAGCTTTGCTTAGCTTTACAGTGGTTGCATCATGATTTGTAGTTGTTTTCAGGTTTTGCAGCAGCATGCACCCAAAAACAACGGTTTTTGCTACCATAGCAAGGGTTGTAAAGATAGGGCCGTGGAGGGTTTTGTTGGACCCATCAGTACTAGGGAGAATTACCACAAGTCTTGGACAGAGGACAAGTTTTTCATTCTTGTACCAGTGAGTTTGGACAAGGACAGCTTGCCCGATGTCGAAGCTTCTGCTTCGTTGCTTGGCCATGTAGTTGAGTGAAGAGGGCCTCACAACTTGCATGCAATTTTGATTGGTTGCTTGGCGACTTTGTTTCACGGTTGCAACAGGGTCCAAGAGGAGCAAGCAGCGTCCTGGTCAAAGCACGTCAAAAAGTTTTTTTGCATGTTGACCCAATGGAATATATGGCGCAGCGTTGCCAGTCCCCCCCCCCCCCCGCCCCCAAATGGTCATGGGTCAGACAAGTAGCCCCCCCCCCCCCGCCCTGTGGTTGTGGTCCTGTGGTTGGGTTGTGGTGGTTTAGGGTTGGTTTAGAATTGGTTTAGGGTATATTTGGGGTGTATTTAGGGTTAGTTTAGGGTTGGTTTAGGGTTGGTTTATGTTGATTTAGGGTTGGTTTAGGGTTGGTTTAGGTTTAGAGGTGTACGGTTTAGGGTTTGGTTTAGGGTTTGGTTTAGGGTTTGGTTTAGGGTGTATTTAGGGTTGGTTTAGGGTTAGTTTAGGGTTGGTTTAGGGTTGGTTTAGGTTTAGGGTTTATTGTTTAGGGGTTTAGGGTGCATTTGGGGTTTGGTTAGGGTTGGTTTAGGGTTAGTTTAGGGTTGGTTCATGTTGATTTAGGGTTGGTTTAGGTTTAGAGGTCTACGGTTTAGGGTTTGGTTTAGGGTGTATTTAGGGTTGGTTTATGGTTGGTTGCGGGTTGGCTTGTCCTGGGGGTGGGGGTGCCGGGGTGTCGGGACTGTAGGTGACAGGATCCGGGGGCTTGGGGTCTCGGGCCGGGGAAACGGAGGCGTCCTGGGGCACCCATACCGGGGGGGGGGGAGCAACACGGACACGGGACCATATATTGCCCCATTGCAGTGTAAGTTAGGAACACCAATCTTGGAGTGCTTCTTGCCATACCTCCATGCTTTGTCTCGCGAGGTGGGCTTCCCAGTTCCCATCGGTCCATTTTTTCTGAAAGGCAGCCCTTGAGGCCAGGCTTGACGTTGCTTTGCAAGCAGTACTGACTTTTCCCCGGGGCGATGGTGTGGGACCTGTCAGAGAACGCTTCCTTGGGTGCTTCGGATGCCCATTCGCTTTTGTTTGCTGGGTTGACCTGTGACCTGTCTGAGGTCCGCCTCTTCATGCCACAAAGCCGCCTGGACGAATTGATTTCTCCCGGTGCAATCCCTGGGGCACCCAAGTCCAAGCAGCTCTTACTTGAGGGAACTCAGGCCTCTCCATGCGTTCCGTATGCTCGTACATTCAGAAAGTCTCACATATAGCCTTTGCCTCCAAGAGCAACCAGGCTTTTTCAGCTGGCTTTCTCCTACGGCCCACCGCATCACCTGGCTGAGTGTTGGAATGTGGCTTCACGAGCTGACGACCGTCACTTGAATTGAGGCGAACGCCCCCCGAAACAATGTAGTAGGGTTCGCCTCAAGTAAGAGAAGGGGACACAAATGCGAGCCTCAGATCTAGTTCCCTTCGAGTGGAAACTTTGGGCCATGGTTTGGTATCGGCTGGGTTGTGGTGAGGACCTGGGCGGACAGTGTTGATTTGGGTTAAAATGTCGGCTTTGGGCTGGCCAGTTTGTATTTGTTTGATGCCCTGTTGAACAATATGTTTGCTTGCATTTTGTCTTTGGGTGGCAATGCGTATTCGTCGTCTTCCTCCAAGCGCTGCTTGTCATTCGTCGGCTTGGTTTGGTCTTGTGCCTTCGTCGCTCGGCCCCAGCCCATTGAGCTCGTGGCTAAGGCTTCTAGCCAGCCGAAGCAGTAAAGAGCTCACTGCGCCCAAACGGGCCCCCCGGCTGACAAATGCGGGGCTTGGGGAAATCTTGCCGAGATGAACGGGTGGAAGCGGACATCTTGTGGAACAGTTGTGATATTGTTTCAGCACGTTTCGCAAGTGAAGACCGTGAGAGAGCCATACAAGGTTGCTCTGCTCCCACGGCGTAAAAACAAATCTCCAGGGGCCTCCCTCAGTGAGGGCGTCAGCTTGCGGCCCTGGTCATACTCAGTCCAAAAGGGCGCCTGATGCCTTAGAACCCGGGGGGGCTTCGGCCAAAGGCGGCTGACTTCCGCGCGGAGACGGACTGGCGCCTGAAGCTGAGGCGCGGTCAACAAAGCCGATGTGATCTTTGGCATGAGCGACTCTTCTTGCTCACGACTCTTCTCGTGCATGCGGATGGCCACATTCTTTGAATACAAGGCCTGAAGCCAGGCTCTTGACTATACATATGCAAATATATATTTATGGACACTCAATTGGCTAGGCAGTTTGTGTAAACAAACTCTGCCTGTGGCAGCTTGAATGGCAGGCCGTTTTCGCCGCCTGTGAAGGAAGCGAGGCGCAGAGCAGTGGGGTTGTGTGACGGGCGGTGGTGCAAGATTCCGGATTCAGCGCCCACGTGTGTGTGTGTGTGTGTGTGTGTGTGTGTGTGTGTGTGTGTGTGTGTGTGTGTGTGTGTGTGTGTGTGTGTGTGTGTGTGTGTGTGTGTGTGTGTGTGTGTGTGCGTGTGTGCGTGGGTGCGTGGGTGCGTGGGTGCGTGGGTGCGTGCGTGCGTGCGTGCGTGCGTGCGTGCGTGCGTGCGTGCGTGCCGTGCGTGCCGTGCGTGCCGTGGCGTGGGCGTGGGCGTGGGCGTGGGCGCGTGGGCGCGTGGGGGCGCGTGGGGCGCGTGGGCGCGTGTGGGCGTGTGGGCGCGTGTGGGGCGCGTGTGGGGGCGTGTGGGGGGCGTGTGGGGCGTGTGGGGCGTGGGGCGTGTGGGGCGTGGGGCGTGGGGCGTGTGGGGTGCGGTGGGGCGTGTGGGGCGTGTGGGGCGTGTGGGGCGTGTGGGGCGTGTGGGGCGTGTGGGGCGTGTGGGGCGTGTGGGGCGTGTGGGGCGTGTGGGGCGTGTGGGGCGTGTGGGGCGTGTGCGGCGTGTGCGGCGTGTGGGGCGTGTGGGACGTGTGGGGCGTGTGGGGCGTGTGCGGCGTGTGCGGCATGTGGGGCGTGTGGGGCGTGTGGGGCGTGTGGGGCGTGTGGGGCGTGTGGGGCGTGTGGGGCGCGTGGGGCGCGTGGGGCGCGTGGGCTCCGTGTCTCCGTGTCTCCGTGTCTCCGTGTCTCCGTGTCTCCGTGTGTCTGTGTGTGTCTGTGTGTGTCTGTGTGTGTCTGTGTGTCTCTGTATGTCTCTGTATGTGTCTGTCTGTCTCTGTGTGTGTCTGTGTCTGTGTCTGTGTCTGTGTCTGTGTCTGTGTCTGTGTCTGTGTCTGTGTCTGTGTCTGTGTCTGTGTCTGTGTCTGTGTCTGTGTCTGTGTCTGTGTCTGTGTCTGTGTCTGTGTCTGTGTGTGTGTGTGTCTGTGTGTGTGTGTGTGTGTGTGTGTCTGTGTGTGTGTGTGTGTGTGTGTGTGTGTGTGTCGTTGTGTGTGTCTGTGTGTCTGTGTTTGTGATTGTGTGTGTGTGTGTCTGTGTCTGTGTCTGTGCCTCTGCCTCTGCCTCTGCCTCTGCCTGTGTCTGTGTCTGTGTCTGTGTCTGTGTCTGTGTCTGTGTCTGTGTCTGTGTCTGTGTCTGTGTCTGCGTGCGTGCGTGCGTGTGTTCGTGCGTGTGTGTGTGTGTGTGTGTGTGTGTGTGTGCTCCCTGTTTCTAAGGGGTTCTTCGGTGTCCCTTTCTTTTGCTTCTTTGGGAGTCGGACGCCACCTTGACGAATGACCCGGAGTGTAGTAATCCTGTTGGCAGATGGCGTTCCTGATGAGGATTGCCGGCAGGATGAACAATTACCGGGCTGATGCCAAGCCGAAACTCCATTGCCCTCGCGGAGGCCCTCAAAGCTGGCTCATGGGATGCGCCTCGCGGGTCCGCTGTCCCCCATCAAGTTTGTACCGGCACTGTTTCCGAGCAACAGTCAGTGTCGTGAACCCTTTGGTTGCCTCATACACAGACCTATTTGTCTGACTTTTACCGACTGATCTTTACTACCCCTTACCACGATTTGGACGTTTACCCGAACTTGAAAGCATCCCTGGACTGTGTTTGTTGATGTTTCACCCGAACTCTATTGAGAACCCCCACCGTGTCCCCCTGACCTTCCTTTTCAGACCCGTGTCCTGTCAGGCATATCTGGCTGCAGGTCCCGTGTCCGGCTCCAACTCGGCGCCCGGTGTGGCCTCTACCTGCCCCCTGGCGACCTGAGAGACACGTACGACAGGATCTCAACGATACCGACCCTATGGACCATCCTCGAGTGAGTCCAACCAAGCGCAGCAGGCGTTTCAGCGCACAGGCCGGGAGAAAGGAAAGAGTCCAAATTAGCCATCGATGATGGAGGCGCTTCCTCTTTTCTTTTCTTTCTCTTTTCCGTTTCTTCGGTTTTTCTGTTCGTTTTTGTCCCCCCCCCCCCCCCTTCGGTGTGTGTGTACCCCCTGTTCCTAAGGGGTTCTTCGGTGTCCCTTTCTGTCTGTTTTTCGGAGTCGGCCGCCACCTTGACGAATGCCCCGGAGTGTAGTAATCCTGTTGGCAGATGGCGTTCCTGAAGAGGATTGCCGGCAGCATGAACAATTACCGGGCTTACGCCAAGCCGAAACTCCATTGCCCTCGCGGAGGCCCTCAAAGCTGGCTCATGGGATGCGCCTCGCGGGTCCACTGTCTCCCATCAAGTGTGTACCGGCACTGCTTCCTAGCAACGGTCAGTGTCGTGAACCCTTCTGGGGCACTCGATTTGCCTCATACACAGACCTTTGACCACTGACCCCCACCACTGATGTGGACTTTTACCCGAACTTTAAAGCATGCTTGGACTGTGTTTGAACTTATACTTTGATGTTTCACCCGAACTCTATTGAGAACCCCCACCGTGTCCCCCTGACCTTCCTTTTCAGACCCGTGTCCTGTCAGGCATATCTGGCTGCAGGTCCCGTGTCCGGCTCCAACTCGGCAGGACGCGTGGCGCCGGGTGTGGACCTGATCTCCCCTCTACCTGCCCCCTGGCGACCTGAGAGACACGTACGTTCTCTTTTCTGTTTCTTCGGTTTTTCTATTATTATTTTTTCTTCCGGGGTGTGTGGGTGTGCCCCCTGTTCCTAAGGGGTTTTCGGTGTCCCTTTGTTTCTGTTTCTTCGGAGTCGGACGCCACCTTGACAAATTCATCCTGTTGGCAGATGGCGGTCCTGACCGGCAGGATGAACAAGGGTTTACGGCAAGCCGAAACTCCATTGCCCTCGCGGAGACCCTCAAAGCTGGCTCATGGGATGCGCCTCGCGGGTTCATGTTTTTTTTTTTTGTGTGTGTGTGTGTGTGTTTTCATGTGTTTTCTTCCTTCGTCCATGATTGCAGAAAGGCAGGAGATTCTTAGTGTGTGAGCCTATTGGCAGCGCCATGGAACTTCCCTCCACACGTTCTAAACGGTTCGCGTTGCCCGCCTCGGCCAGAGCCGCAGAGCTACAGAATGCAGAATGGCGGGCCGAGCGAAGGTGCAAATTTCTAGGACATTTTTCCGGGGGGGACATTTTGCCGGTTTCCGGTTGTAAGGGGAATCTGACCTAGCGGGATTTTTCTGGTTTCTAGATGGGAAGTTGACCGGTTTCTAGAGGGGATTTGACCGGTTTCTGCGGTTTTCTTTTTGAGGATTTCGACCGGTTTCTATCACTTCAGGCGGACTGGATGACAAGCCCCTTTGGGGGGTAGCTGAAGCCTCGACGAGCGCCTTTTTGCACATGGAGCCGAAGGGTTCGAATTGCGAACCGGTGAGGGACCTTTTTCTCAGGTTGTGCTATCGGAGGCAGCAGGGCAGCAGGAAAGCACTTGGAAACGGTGTTGCTTCTTTTTTTTTCTTCTCATACTTTCACTCGCTGAGTGCCCGCGCTTCCCAAACAAACGCTCGTTGCGCATGCGTATGCCCGCGTGCAGGCCGGCGTGCTTGTTTGCGTGTACGTTTGGTGCGCGTTCGTGTAAGCGAGGCGGAAGGGGGGCAGGAGGGAGGGAGAGGGAGGGGCACAGAGGGAGTCTTGCGAGGGAGAGGGAGGGAGAGGGAGGGAGAGGGAGGGAGCGAGAGGAAGAGGGACGGAGGGAGGGGGAGTGAGGCAAAGGGAGAGGGATGGGGAGTGAGGGAGAGGGAGAGAGGGAGGGAGGTGGCGCTGCAACCAGAGTCCGGCCTCAACGGCCGTGCCAGATGTGTGCTTGTGCAACTTGTCGGAAGATGACTCAGAGACGCACCTGCATCAGTTCCCCTCCAATTCTTGTTGATAGTAGCTGGAGGGAACTTGACTAGGTTAATTTGCCTGACCCCACAATTTGCCTTACGGGCGTGGGCATGATTTGCACTGATTGCAAATGGCTGTGGGTCAAAGCCAAAGGTGCCATTTTGGGGGTAGGTGCACCACCCATTTTAGAACCTATTTTAGTGGGGATTGGGCTGTTCACTTTGGGTACGCGATTTTGGCCCATGGCCAAATCATGCTCGGTGAGAGTACGGTGCTCCATGGTGCAACCCAAAGGGTCGTGACTTCAGTCTGGGAGACCTTCCCTCGGCGCGTGCACACGCTCGCAGGCAAGTGCGGCTTCCGGTCATTCGACCGCTGCCGAACCGCGAGGCTGTCCACAGCCGGTCGGGTCAGGAACCTTTGATGCAGCGGTGGATGGAGGGCACAACCAACTTTGGTTTGCGAACGTACTCCGGTCATCAGCATTCATTCTTTGAGCTGTGGAAGTTTGAGTTCTCTTTTTCTCGTGCTGCGACGCGGGATTCCACGTGACTTGGTTACTTTTTCACCTCCGTTGCGCATGAGACCTGGCAAGCCGGAGCTATGTATGTCATAGGGGTGCATGGCGCGGCACTTCCGCTTCGTGGCCTGCCTACACTTTGGCCCCGGCCAGGTGCCGCGCTGAGCCGAGGTTCCGGTCTCAGCAGGGTTGCTGTGGGCCCTGCGGGCATAGGTCGGCTATGACTGGCCAAGGGCATTAGTCTAAGCAAAGGATGAGTGAACAGATGCACCAAAACGCGTCAACTCTTCAAGATGTTCAAGTTCCGCTCGCGACGTTTTTGGTTGGTTTGTAGGTTTTTCTTTCTCGTGACGGGGCGCTTCATGCGTCGCAATCAGAGACATTTAAAGGCGATTGAGTTGCCTTTCTTGGCGTGGACGAAGGCCAGATTCCAACTCTTTCTGGTCCATTTGTTGCAGAACTACAGGTCCAGCCTCCTTGCGTCCAATCTCGCGGAACCAGGGACAAAGCGGCCAGCTAACAAGTCCAATCTCACCAATCCGGGGCTTGGCAAAAGCGTCAGGTCGGGGATGGCATGCAGGGCTTGTTTCACCAGGGGTCAAGTCTCGCGATTTGAGCGGAGAGCGCCTGCGCGCTCGTTGGGCCAGGTTGAGTTGGGAGGCTCTTCGCGTTTCACTGAAGCGAGCCGGCGCGAGCTGAAAAACGGAGCCTCACGGAGTGCAGGTTGGTGTCAAAGATTTGTATGTTTGATACCGGCTGACAGATGTGCCAGCTTGCAGCCAGGTCGGTGCCAAATGAATGTTGCCTTTGCTCAAGTGGCCAAGTGCTGAAGTCTAACTTCCGTTCCCGTTCCGAATCCTCGAACGCCATGTTGAATGGAATTTGGCTGTTTCTGCTGTGCCTGATCGAATTGGTCTTCAACGCGATGTCATTTCATTTTGGGGTAGGTTTTTCTTGTTAAGCCTACCAGGAGAGGAAACAACCGGATTGTAGTTGCACTGTAAGATAATTTCGTTGCTCATGGCCGAGAAAAGCCGACAGAACGGGAAAAAGAAAACGCAGTCAAGCAGCCCGGGCTGTTTGCTTTTTGGCTTGCACGTTCCTTTCGCCAAAGCAAAGGATTTGTTGTAAAGCCGATGCCCCGCATGTTTAGGGCGCGGTAGGAGTTATGGTACAGCTGAAAGCAAGCAGACTCCAAACATGGAAGTTGCCCGGGCAACCGTGTAAGGGGTGAGCAGGGGATGCTTTCCGAGGCAGCATGCAGCAGCAATGAAGATTCGCCAGCTTAGCCAGGGGCAACTTTGGCAGCAGCCAGCTTGACGGACTTATGATACTTCCCACGGGTGGCTTTGCCGCTCAATTTTCGTGTCCAACCTTTCCACTCGTATTTTTTGCTGTGGGGAGATGGCTTTCAAACTCCACTGTTTCGAAAGCCTATGTTTTGCAAAACAACGGTCCATTCTGACTGCATCGTGGGACCTCGGGCTTTCAACCGCAAGGAACAACCTGGCAAGCGGCATTGTGCCTACTGGGTCCAGCTTCATGGGCACAATGACCTACTCATTGGCTACCGATGGCAACCCGAAGACCCGCTGGCATGCGGCCGACAATGACATACCGAGCTGGCTGGCACTAGACCTGGGCAAGCTGTGTACCATCGATGATATGAAGATCACAACTGCACCAGAGTCGTTGAACTATGGCTTCAAGAGCCTTGAGATCTACCGGTCCGATGATGGCAACGCATGGGAGCTTGTGCGCACTGACAAGGTTGACGAGTGCAAGGCTGCCAGGGTGTCCAACCATGCAGGGTGGGCAAAGAGTACCAGGTACATCAAGATCACCATGAAGGACCTTTGCGCTGGGAACCATTTTTCCCTTGGTGAGTGGGAAGTCTATGGCAGCAATGCACCTGCGGCAACCACGGCATCTGCGGCAACCAACCTGGCAAGCGGCATTGTGCCTACTGGGTCCAGCTTCATGGGCACAATGACCTACTCATTGGCTACCGATGGCAACCCGAAGACCCGCTGGCATGCGGCCGACAATGACATACCGAGCTGGCTGGCACTAGACCTGGGCAAGCTGTGCACCATCGATGATATGAAGATCACAACTGCACCAGAGTCGTTGAACTATGGCTTCAAGAGCCTTGAGATCTACCGGTCCGATGATGGCAACGCATGGGAGCTTGTGCGCACTGACAAGGTTGACGAGTGCAAGGCTGCCAGGGTGTCCAACCATGCAGGGTGGGCAAAGAGTACCAGGTACATCAAGATCACCATGAAGGACCTTTGCGCTGGGAACCATTTTTCCCTTGGTGAGTGGGAAGTCTATGGCAGCAATGCACCTGCGGCAACCACGGCATCTGCGGCAACCAACCTGGCAAGCGGCATTGTGCCTACTGGGTCCAGCTTCATGGGCACAATGACCTACTCATTGGCTACCGATGGCAACCCGAAGACCCGCTGGCATGCGGCCGACAATGACATACCGAGCTGGCTGGCACTAGACCTGGGGAAGCTGTGTACCATCGATGATATGAAGATCACAACTGCACCAGAGTCGTTGAACTATGGCTTCAAGAGCCTTGAGATCTACCGGTCCGATGATGGCAACGCATGGGAGCTTGTGCGCACTGACAAGGTTGACGAGTGCAAGGCTGCCAGGGTGTCCAACCATGCAGGGTGGGCAAAGAGTACCAGGTACATCAAGATCACCATGAAGGACCTTTGCGCTGGTAACCATTTTTCCCTTGGTGAGTGGGAAGTCTATGGCAGCAATGCACCTGCGGCAACCACGGCATCTGCGGCAACCAACCTGGCAAGCGGCATTGTGCCTACTGGGTCCAGCTTCATGGGCACAATGACCTACTCATTGGCTACCGATGGCAACCCGAAGACCCGCTGGCATGCGGCCGACAATGACATACCGAGCTGGCTGGCACTAGACCTGGGCAAGCTGTGTACCATCGATGATATGAAGATCACAACTGCACCAGAGTCGTTGAACTATGGCTTCAAGAGCCTTGAGATCTACCGGTCCGATGATGGCAACGCATGGGAGCTTGTGCGCACTGACAAGGTTGACGAGTGCAAGGCTGCCAGGGTGTCCAACCATGCAGGGTGGGCAAAGAGTACCAGGTACATCAAGATCACCATGAAGGACCTTTGCGCTGGGAACCATTTTTCCCTTGGTGAGTGGGAAGTTTATGGCACGGTTGGCGGCTCTTCGGCACCCGGCACATGCGCCGGAGAGCTGTTGAGTCATTCTTCTGACGGCTGCTTGGTTATTTGCAGCAGCTTTTTGAGGCTGAGTGAGGTTTCTGTATGAGGCCAGGCGTGAAGAGCTGTTAGAGCAGTCAGGCATAAGACTATGACCGGACAAGGAGAGTGCCCAGTTTGGAACAGCCACCAACATGCCACAGAAAGCAGCAGTGGACAAGGATAAAATATATTTGCAGTGTCTTCCTTTTGGCGGTAGCCACAGGGGAATTCTTTGAACATGATTTCGTTGTTGGCGCTTTCCAACGCATGGCTGGCATCCTTGGGGTGGCATTGTGGGGAGGATCTTGCTTTGTGTTGTGTCTTTTGGCCCACGTGAGAAAGGATTAGCTTCCATCCCCCCACGGGTCCCTTCAAGACTACCAGCACCTCCCCCCCCCCAAACACCCCCAACAGGGGTGCCATGTTTGCAGCTGAGACTATCCCTGCGACACCATAAAGGATGAGGCCACTTGCCTCAAGAGGTATGTCAAGCTGACGACAGGCCGGGCTCGGCTCGGCCGCAAGGGGCACCTCTCAAGGGACATTGACGAGGACGCGGGGCGCGAGCCTGGGGGTCTGAATGCTTTGAGCAGGCTGTCGCGGCTTCGCCGTGGATGTCGCACATTTTTTTTTCCAGAAGCGAGTTGAAGCATGAAGGCGTTTGTGTGCGGCAGGTGATTACCACCAGTGTGTCGCAAAGAAGGCGACGGACACCGCCATCAACTGCTGCTTCGAAGCAGTTGGAGGGAAGGCTCCCAGGGCAGCATTTGACGCAGCTTGTGAGCTCCCGAGCTATGATGTTTCTAGGGTTTGATTCCTTTTCCATTCTTTTCAGCCATCGTTCTTCTCAAAAACCGGATCCGTTTTCCCTGGGTGTCAGGAGGTTTTCTTAAAAGAAGGATCCCTGGAAAGAATGGGGAAGGTACCCTAGAATGTTCACCTGAGAGACGCAAGAGTTCGCCCAGTGAGGTGTTTTTTGTGTTTCTTTGGGTTCCAAGATGCTTTTGTCACGACTCTTCAGCCGTGTCAGCCGTGTCAGCCGTGGCCCGAGGCCTCGTGGACAAGAAGTGCGCGTGACGCGGCCGGGTTTGCGCCCCTGGCGCCAAGCGGCTGACCTGTAGCAGAGGCGGGACGAGGGATGCGCCCGGATGTGGCACAAGCGCCACCGAGGGTCTGTTTCCGCTTGGTTGGCTGCCGCTGATTTGCTTCTGCTGGTGTTGTGATTGTTGCCTGCCTTTGGCCATTTCGATATTCAGGCTTTTCTAATGTTTCTCATGCCGTTTCACGCGGAGTGCATGCGCTTTTTGCTCTTTAGGGCTAGCGGAGCTCAATTACCTCCAGTACTACGAGAGTTCTTGTGCAGCTTCCTCTGACTACTCCCGAAGTGGGCAGCTGAGGCCCAGTGCAGCTAGGATGTTATGCCGTCCTGCCCTGTTGCCGGCCCACGTAGACTGGTCTCCGCGGGTATTTGTTGGCGGGCCTGGCTCGGGCTCCGATTGGGAGGCGCGTGCTTGGATTGATTGCCGGGCCGGCCTTGGCATGCCCCAATTCGTCCAGCGCGGGATGCTAGTTGGACTTGGGAGAGCGCACCCAACCCCCACCACTGGCACCACTACTACTGCTACTATTACTTTTGCTACCACTATTGTGTGTTCCACTGGTACTACCCCTACTACTACCACCTACTACCACAACTGCTACTACTACTGCTACTACTACTGCTACTACTACTTCTACTACTACTTGTACAAATTTTACGACTGCCAATCCTATTACTACTACCACTACCACAACTACTACTGCAACAGCAACCACTATGATTGCTATTGCTTTTACTCGTGCTATTGCTGTTGCTTTTGCTGCTGCTGTCGCTGCGTCCACTAGACTAGTGCAACTACCAGACACTTTGGTCGGTTCAACCAACTTTGCCATGAGAACAAATTTCTTTCTCCTTGCAACTCAGCAGGAGTTTTTCCCCCGAGGCAGCGCGCCGTGGCTGTGCTTACCGCGGGTTCTCGAGGCAAAACATGCGCGCCCAGTTCGTTTCATTGATGAGTTGGTTGTGGGAGTCACCGGAACAAATTAGGATGACTGATTTGCATGATGTTTTCCCTATGGCCCGGATTTGATGTTTGGATGATGTTGGAAGTCCAAAGCAACCGAATCGAACTACCAAGCCACGTTTGAAATTGCTGTTGGGGGAGGCCCTGCATCCTCTTTACCTTTAAGGCCGCTGGAGGCATTGTAGCAGACATGAATCCACCAACTGCGCTGCCATCCTTCTATTGTTTTTTTTTTTAAAGGTTTGTTTGGCCACATTCCCTATATAAAGCAGTGGTTGGAACTGCGGGGTCCGTGATCCCGCACGGGGGCACATCATTTGCCCTCCTTTTCGTCATCTTCGGCTCGCACACCTGCGCTATAGGCCCGGATTTGAACCAACAGAGGCCCAGCAGGCCTTAGCTTCAAGCTGCGAGGTTTTGTTGCGCCCGCCACAACTTTGAGGCAACACCAGGTTTCGGGGCGACTTGGGGCCGCGATTTTGCCATGGCGCTGGCTTTTGTAGCGCCCGGAGCAGCTTGGCGCGAGGGGAGTGGAAGTGAAGCTCTGCCAGACTTGGGTGGATAATTTCTGGACCTGTTGGCACTTGGATTCCTTAGGTTTGAAGCAATCCTGTCCAGTGAGCCCTTTCTCAGCAGATCTCTCGAGCCGGATCGGCGTGCGGCATCCAAGGCTGGCCTGGTTTCCCGCGAGCCCAGGACGTGTGCATGGCTGGGGGTGGTCTGGTTGCGGGCAAATCTTTCTGCGATTCTGGGGGCAGATCCCCCTCTTACTTGGATTAGCTGTTCCCTTTTCGTTGGACCTTTTGGTGGCGAGGATGGATCCCATTTTCTCGCGCTTTTGTTTGCCATCACATCAAGGAACAGTCCTGAGAGTTCTGGTCCCCGGCCCGGCAATTGCAGTCTTAGTTGCCGTTTTGCCCACAAGCCCATCATCCACTATTGCTAGGAGAGAGCGTCCACTGACGACCAAGATGTTACATCGAATCGTGCAAGACATGCAACATCAGCCTGAAGGCACCGACATGCAGAAATCGCAGAAATCAGCAAGAGCAAACCTCACCAAGGGGGCAGCCCGCTTCTTTTTTGGCACGCTTTTGGCGCGACGCCGGGGGATCGAGGAGCGCCGGCGCCAGCCGCGCGCCGGGGCCGCGGTCCGTGCATCGAGCCGCCGGAGAGGTGGCCCGGAGACCCGCGGAGACGGTTGAAGCTGGTTGCGCCTTCGGAGCGCGGTGGGACGATCGGGGGGTGGCTCTAAGACCTCGGGTTACGCAGGAAGAAAGTGGCGCAAATTCTGAGACCTCGGGTTGCGCAGGAAGAAGGTCTTTGTTTCCATGACCAAGGCTGCTTTCTGGGTGCCATACTTCGAGCCAGAGTTTTTTTTTTTGTTGAGATACACCACGCACCGAACCCCAAAGACTAACCCCCCTTGGGGAGACTCCCGCAAGCATCACAGAAGTGGTTGGAGAAACCCCGAGTGATCCCACTGCTTCAGATCATTCTTAGCCTGGTTGCAGTTCTGGTAGATCGTGCTAAATCAAACGTAGTTGACAGAGATGTTCCGGAGTGAAGCGATGATTGAAACCCTTTCACCCGGTCAGGATCCGGTGTTTTGCTTGGTTGGTTGGTTGGTTGGTTGGTTGGTTGGTTGGTTGGTTGGTTGGTTGGTTGGTTGGTTGGTTGGTTGGTTGGTTGGTTGGTTGGAACAACAAAAGGTTGCCGGCAAAACATTTGGAGGTAGGCTGGCGAGATTGTTTGCCCAGGTATGCTTGGCCAGAATTGCTTTGAACAGGAATCCATGTGGGCATGCAGCACAATTTGACAGCCATTTTTCTCCTTCATATTTTTCTTCTTCCCTCATATGCACTAGATTGGCTATGAGCTTCCTTTGGAAACATTTTTGATATTCCAGCGGTGCACAGTGCACAACTGTTTTCTTTGCTTGTGGGAAGGTCGTGCAAGCAAGACAAACGTATGATGTGCCCCGGCAGTAGCAACATCCACCTATTACTGAGGACTTCCTACAGCACGGGCGTGATCCTGCTGATGGTTTCATTCGCTCGCCCAAGGCATCCCTTGCTCGCAATCTTGGGCTCAAACGGCTCAGTCCTGCCCCACCAATCCAGCTTGTGTTTTTCACGATGACAGCAGTTACACTCGATTGCCCGAGATAAATTTTGAATCCGCCGCAATCCATCTTTCAGGTCAACCCAGGTGAAATGGCATCACTCCTGCTGCCCCCTCCTGAAAGAGGACGCGAACCCAAGTTCGGGATGCGAGGGGCAGCAGCCGTCTCCCTTGGAGAGTGCCAGTTGGGACGGACACGGATCGGTTTTTCAACGAAAGTGGGCCCCCTCCCACCAACCCCACGCATCCCAGCCTGTGACGGCCATTGCAAATTCGCGCCTTTGTCGCCATGTCCGAACCCCGGATTTGGGGGAGGCGTGGCATGGGGCGCGAGGGTGCCTCAAGGCGTGCGCTTTCAATGGTCTTTCTGGCAGAGTTGCATCTTTGGCCTCTAACTTTTCGGTTGAAGCTGGGATTTTCCCGAGTGTTCATGTTTTGAGGGGTCAACAGCAACCAAGATGTTTGCGCGGGCCTGGTGATCCTAACAAGACTCTGCTGAGCAATGCCTTGCTTGTGGACCGAGCATTGCACGCAGACACAAAGTGCCATACTACCTGTACTGATGGCGGGCCCAGGTGAATTTGTTTGATTATGCTTGCTATGCCAAGCTTCGACGCTTATTGCAAAGGGGAAACAACACCCCGGATGTAAAATCCGAGTGATTGCGCCAAAACGACCTTCAACACGTGATGCTGGGATGTTTTTGAGCTGTGCGACGACGTGAATTCCACTGGGCCACCGCCCTCAACCACATCAGATCCCTCTTCACTTCCTGCACGGCCTGCGGACCCTCCGCCCAGCGTCGATGCAGCTGGTGCAAGAGCTCTTTGCCTTAGAGCCCCGACCCTGCGTTTTCCAAGCAACCAGCCAGGCATTTTTTTGGGGAGAGCCCCAGGGAGTTTGAGCCCAAAATGCCAAAGGAATCTTGAGGCTCGCCGCCTTTGGAATTTGGGGAGGCGTTGAGGTTCAGGAAGCCATGAGGGTGGGATCTCGGAAGGCGCCGCTGGCTTTGGGCGCTGCCCGTCTTCTTGACCAGCGTGGAGGCTGTGGGGGACTTGAGTCCGGCCTCAAGCCGCGCCGAAGGGTTGTCCGCCGCTTCGAAGTTTCAACGGTTCCGCATCCGCACATGCAGAATCTCTGCCCTTGGCCTTCGTGTTTTTGACCTTCAGCCCGACACCTCTTCATGGTGTTTCTGGCTGCCTCGAAATCCTTTCCCGTGTCCAGATGTCTTTCTTTCTTGGTCTTCTATCTGCAAGAAGAATTGGAGAGTTGTCATCCTAGCCTGTTGACTGTTGGGGCGAACTGGGATACATTCTCAGAACGAGACCTGGAGCCTTGTTTTGCTGGCCGGCCTCCTTTCGCCTGCCTCCTTTCGCCCGCCTCCTTTCGCCTGTTTTACTACGTTTTTTGGATCTGAAAGTATGATTGCAAAAAATGACATGATCAATATGTAATGTTGACCCAGGATTAGTAAACCCGTCCCATTATTACGGGGGTGTTCCCTCCAAAAGTGGTCTGAATCCCCACCAAAAGGGAACACCCTATTAATCAACCAAGGGTTCTGCTCAATCCGGGGTTAACAGTAGTGAAATTATGCCCACTACAAGGTATCTTCAGAACGAGACTCGGAGCAGCTCCGCAGGCGGCGGCGGAGCAGAAGCGCTCCGTGAGCGGCGTCTCGGGCCAGCGCTTCAGCGGGGAGGTGCTGCGGGAGGTGCCGAAGGAGGAGCTGCGCGCCTCGGTGGGGCGGTTCATGTCCCTTTTGGTTGTTTTAGTAGAAAAATGGCCCTGGTATACCTGGTGGTTTAATCATTTATCAGGGCCATCTATTTCCCCCTAAAAAGACACCTATGCGACCAGGGGTCTTTTCAAGGACACCCAAAGGGAAACTGAAAGGAACAAATCGAAGCCGTTTGGAGCCCGTGCCTGAACGCACAGCAATCTGATCACAAGTCTGGCCCGGACGGAATCGGATTCCCTTTGCCGCGCCCCAGGCACCATTTTTTGCAAGTCCCCAGAACTTTGAAACGTTCCCATCTAGGGAGGTTTGCACATCTGCTGCTCATGATTGCCCGCTCGCACGCACGCTTTGCTTCGATCTTGGTTTGCAAATTGCAGAGACATGGACAATATTTGTGAATAGGACTTGTTGTAGAGCAGGTTGGGGAAACGGGCATCGGTGCCAGCTTTCAATCCGCTCTTTCTCAAGTGAGCCACAATCAAGACCCGGGTAGATGAAGGTTGGTAAGGGACAATCCCAACCATAAGTAGCTGCGGCCGCCTTCTCATTTTTTTTTTACATGGTTCTGGGTAGACCATTTGAATGATTACCGGGTTTTGATTGTGACCCAAGTGAACGCTCAGAACGGCAACACGCACCGCAGCTAAGCACGTGGCAAGCAGCTAAGCAGCTTTGGCCAAGCATCCCAAACGTTCACTGCTGGCTCTTTGGAGCGGGCCGTGACGTGCGCCAAGCAACCAAACCTGCCAATGGCACAGCAGCCCAGAAGGACGACAACAGAACATGTGAAGCTTTGATGAAAGTATTCTTTGATTAGGACTTGCTGGGTGATCCAGGTGTCCTTCAAAGCTTGCCTGAGGCTTCGCTGGGATCAGGCGCAGCGATTTGAAAGCCGCACCCTCAGCGAGATGCAGTCGGAGGGACTGCCAGACACTAGGGGCAAGGTTGCGAGGAACATTGTGGCTGTGCCCGCCGCTGACGCTGCCAATTCTGATGGCTGTTAGGGTTCGTGGGGTGTCCAGAACATGTGCACACTCTGCCCTTCGACTCACGCCACAATGAGGAAACCTTAGTTGAGGAGTGAGTGTCTCTGCCTGATGGGGTGGGCCCCTCATAGGCAATTGGCTTGAGTGTACTGTTGACCCAGGAGTAGTAAACCCGTTCCATTATTGGGGGGGGGGTGTTCCTCCAAAAGTGATGAATCTCTAACTAAAGGGGACACACTCTCTATTAATCAACCAGGGGTTTATTAATCCGGGGTTAACATTAGCTGTGCTTCCAGGGAAGTTCTTTTTTCCAGCTGGTACTCTGCGGGGCTCCTCTGCCAAGGCCCTCAAGCAGGAGCGGCGCTGCGAGCGATGGATCGTGGTGACCTCCATCTTTCAGCCCTCGCCGGCCACGAGGCACGAGGAACGTGGGGGCGAGGAGGGGGTGGCCGCCATGGACGAACTTCAGGCGAAGCAAGCGGCCAACACACACACACACTAACATGGCTGTGGGTCAAAACCCTGTACCCCTGGTGAACATCAACATAGGTGGCAAATGGATTCAAAATGGGATCGCCATAGGTTATGCCCCTAAGAGGAAGAAATCTTTGAACTTCCGGCTGATGCGGTGGCAGGTTTGCGATTTAAACAGCTTGCCCAGGAAGCTGGGGGAGATGACGCGTCAGGGCTGGTGCTACGTGGTGGTTGCAGACGCTTAGCTGTGGGACTTTTTGTGGGCGTTTTTCGTGCCACTCCCATAACCCTCCAAAGTACGTTTCGTGCGTATTTCTGATCGCAAGTGCAAATGTAAAGAGGAAACCGGAGAGCATGAGGTTGGATCTTCTGCCATTATTCCATTGCCTGCTTTCCTGCGTGCATGTGATGCAGAATTAGGCAAATTCAGAGTCCCCGCCCGTCGGCCCCTTCGGCCCACGTTGTTTTGGCCAAGGATAAGAACGGCCCCAAGGATTATGACGATGTCGAAGGCGCCTTGGTTGCGTCCTTTCGGAAGGCCCAAAACGCGTCGTGTTCGATGTCAGGCCAGGTATGTTGTTGCGGAAAGCATGTCATAGCCCACAATGCTTCCAGATATGTAAGTCGACACAGAAAGGAGCTGCGAAGAAGAATCAAGCAGCCAAAACAGTTGCGCCAGCCCTTTTGCTGGGGATTCATTTTGGGGCCGCGACTCTGGACTATTTCCATGAGCAAGGCGGCAGGTCAAGAATCATTCAGTTTTCACTTCGCTGGCTCCCGCAAATCAACCGATGTGTGCTTAAAACGTGTGCCACCCTGACCACTGCATAAAAAGCTTATCCCCTCAGGCAATTTCTTAAACATATATTCTTGGAATTTATACTCATTTCCTCCCAAGAAAAGATTAAAGAGTTCACATGAGATCTCGGCCCGAGTGCCTGCCAGCGGTAGATCTGCGGCAGCCGAAGTTCGGGACACCCTTTTCCGCACCCATGGATTCGCGCATCTTCGGGCTCCTGCCACCGGATGGTGGCTTGGCTAAGGGCGTCTTTGACATCAAGCTGACGGGCCATGCAGGTATTTACATGGGCAGCAGAGTCCCAGACGGCAGGTTGGTGACCATACACGCCACTGGGCTTGGCGAAGGGCGATTTACCCTTTACAATTTCAGGACAGGGCACAACGGCCAGCATTTGTTCGACACTTGCGATTCGTGGTTTCGACAGGCCCCAAATCCCCCAGTCTCAATTTCCTCTACGGTCATTGAGCTCTGTGCTGGTTTTGGTGGCATGGGCATCGGCACGCACCACCTTTCTCGGAGGGCGCACGGTGCTGAGCGTCGACTGCAATGAGCTAGCTGCCCAACATCTCAGACACAATTCAGCAGGTCTGGTTTTGAAGATGGACATCAACCGCCCGGATGCAGCCTGCGAGCTACACAAAGTATGTCCTCCCGGCCCTCACACGGTCGTGCTGGGATTTCCGTGCCAGCCGTATTCGCAGCAAGGGCGAAAAATGGGTCTCCAGGATCCTCGATCACAGACAATGTGGAGTGGCCTTCATATCGCGTTTATGTTGCAATGCCAATCGTTGCTTCTTGAATGCGTTGCAGCCGCAGGAAAACACCCTGCAATCCAGAAAGCCATTCGCGAGATTGCAGGCGCAATGAACTGGACCGTTTTGCAGACCAATCTCGATCAGTCTTACCAGTGGCCAAACAGACGTTATGGGTGGTGGGCAATCCTGATGCCCTCCAAGTGGTGCAGTACCAGCATTCGACCTTGGCCGAAATCCACCGATTTCCCCACAGTTGGTTCAATCATGCGCCCATTTGCTTGCTGGAGTACGGCCGAGGAACAACAGCTCAAGCTGGACCAGCAGGAGCTCGCCATGTACAACAATCCAAATTTTGGCCAGGACCAGCGATTGCTGAGCACTGAACACATTGCACCGGCTATCCTGCATTCATACGCCAATGCCACCCGCGATTGCCCCTGCAAGTGTAGACTGCAAGGATTCTCGCACTACAGCCTCAACACCAAAGGTTTGCGCGGCTTTTATGTCACCACCGATGAAGCAGATGCTCCACGATTCCTTCACCACAGAGAAGCATTGCTACTGGGGATACCGGATGATGTCCTGTACTGCCATCCGCCTCGCGACAACCTATGCCTACTTGGCCTTGTTGCTTCACCAATGCAGATGGTTTGGATCTACTCCATCTGGCTGGAAAACTGCGCCTACTACGACCCGTACCTGCCAAAGGTCAAGCCAGAGATCGCTTTACGCATGAACCAGCAGCACCTCCTGAAGCTTTGGCACGACAATGAGCCAGACAGAGCTCTTTCCACTACTCGGATACAGGTGCACACCCAGGAGGAGCCATCAATCAAAGTTTGCATAGACTGTCCCACCCCTGTCGGACAGCTAGTTGCAGCTGAACGCATCAACCAGGAATGGGGAGTCCGACATTCCCTTCTGCAGGATGACCACACTCCATGCCACCACTGCGCCAATCTTGGGAGCCTCCAGGGCCTGCAGTTCTCGCACGCCAGGAAAAAACAGAGACGCGAACCACCAGCTGGACCAATTACCCTGCGCATTCTGCACCACGGACATGTCTTTGAGCGACTCCTTACACCAGGCAGTTTTGTCTTTGAGGCGTACAAGGAGCTCCCCATCGCACCTTCCAACTTCATCGTCGATGAGAAGGGCTTTATCCATGGAAGCGACACGCGCATTTGGCAAGACACAACAATCCAGCTTGCTTCAAAGGACCTACTCGGCGTTCCACGCCCACTTGTTGGTCTTGGAAATGGTGATCATCTAGCAGACGGCCTCAATGAACACCAGATCTGGCAGGGTGTCCTCAGGCTCCTCCAACACCTTGATCGCCATGAATTGCAGCACACCTTTGCGATACACCCTACCACCGCCTTCAACCTCATCCACTACCCCGACGGCTGTACGCTTTTACCTCCCTATGCTGGCCAAGCTCTTTGCATTTTCCACCACGACAATCATTGGGCCCTTCTCTGCGGCAAGATTCATGCGGAGACAATCAGCTGGACTTTCTTCGACGGTACCCACAACCCTCAACACGAGGCAGCGCATGCATATGCTTGGGCGATCTCTGCTCTTTTCACGCTGGAGCTCCAGGACATTGAATATCGACAAGTTCTTGTCCAACACCAACCCTGGAATTGCGGATCCATTGCCCTCGCACACCTGGCGCTATTCTTGGGCATCAGCGTTGATCTATCTCCCCTCGATGTCGACCTCTTGCGCTACTACCTGAAATCCACCTCGATAGATGGACAGCTATGGGGGTGTGGTCCTGACGCCACCTTGCAAGTTCTGCTCAACCAGCTTGCTGCTCTACTTCAAGAAAGAGGAGTCGCGCCAGAAGCAGCACGGTCAAGAGCGCAACAGGCACTTGACATGATTGGCAAGGCAGATCTCCAGAAGGCTATGCGCTCCAACCAACCATGGACCGAAATCAAAGCACTTGCCAGCGCCCCATGGGTCATGCTACGCCTCGTGCTTCCATCTGAGCTCAGCGAACACACTAGACAGAAAGCTGCAGAAAAGTTTGGTGCCGACGTCAACATCAGCACGAAGAAGAAAGTCAGGAAAGACAAGTTCATTGCACCAGCAGCACTTCGCATCGACCCCACCGAGCTTGTGCTATATGATGGCCTTTTCATTGACGACAACAAGGTTGCTGTTCCGAACATTTCCTTTGATGCCGTTACTGCAGACGCCAGAGGAATTGCCATTTGCACAGGCTCACAGGCCCTTCCTTACATACAGGCAGGACGCAGCATCAGCACAGAAGCACTTGCCCTTGCTCTTACAGACCTTCCAGAACCAGACCAGTGTGCAGACAGTGCGATCTACAGAATCAATATTCCAGCCAGATACAAAGGTACAGATGAGCCTGTCTTGCTTGCCGGTGGTATTGTTCAGCTTGGTGACATCAAAATCACACGCAAAGGCGAGAAGCTTCTGGACTCCCCGGACATTGTCAACACTCAGGTCATTCGGGTGCAGACGTACAGCGATTTGCTTGAAACCTGGCCTACATTCATACAAGCACCCATCAAGGAGCTTACTGTACTGGTGCCAGCTCTGAAGAAGTGCGTCGACAAGCAGTGCCTGAATGGCTCCTACTCGGAGTGCCCATACTCACACCCTGCCATTGATGAAGAATTTGACCAGGTCATCATGGAAATCTGGGCTCGGGGATTTCATGCTGCAGATGGCAAACGAGTTGGGCCTTCTGAGGCCTTTTCTTTTGCTGCCTTCTTGAGGGTCCCTTCGTCTACGGTTAGGACCTTGCTGGGCAGACAGCCTAAAGGAGTGTTCTTCGAGCCACGCCTTGAACTTCGGCAAGGACCAGACCCTGCATACAAAGTTATTTGGCTCCCCGGGCAGGATTACACTTCCGCTCAACACCTGCTCAAAACCTTTCCGAAGGCAATTTCAGTCGCGCGGCTGAAACAGAGATTTGGTCTGCGTGTTCATGCCAAAGATGAAGAAGCAGCTTACAAGCACCTCAGGCCCGACTCCACTTTCTCAGATGTGGTGCCTTCACGCACTTTCCAGCTATTTCCACTGCCACATGGCATGCAGAAAGCAGCGGTCGTGGAAGTGGAAGGCAACCCATTCAGCCCGGAAAAGGCAATTCCACCGCCATGACCTGGATCGTAGGCACATCGAGTGACCCACCAGCACCAGTACTACCTGGCCCAACAGGAGACGTGCTCATCACCGAGATGCCGCAGCAAAATCGGACTCCACACGCACACACGGTTATGGCATCTCGACGCACCCAGCTACACATCCGCAGAGTACAGGGAGACGAAGCAATGCCAGCAAATGATCCTTGGCTTGACCCGAACCAGGATCCCTGGGGCGCACCGAAGAAATCTCAACCAACGAGCTCCACCGCTCCTTTGACCACCCCCTTTGGCACCAAGCGCTACGATGAGATTGCAAAAGAGCTTCGCACTGAGATCCAATCCTCTTTGCAGAAGGAGGTCAAGGCATTCCACACGAGCCAGGCAAGCGCCAGCAACCCCGCTTCAGATCCACAGATCGAGCAACGCTTTCATGCCCTTGAGTCTAGCGTGACAGAGATTCGTGCACAGAATCAGACCTTTGCGCAGTATTTCAACCAGATCGGCCAACAGCAGCAGACCCTTGAGACAGCCGTAACACAGGTCCAGCGCAAGGTACATCAGAATCAGCAGGATCTGCAAGGCTTGGCCAGCTCCATCTCTGGTCTTCGCAATGCCCTCAACCACGACTTCAACAGCAGATTTGATTTGCTGGAATCCTTATTGAGCAAGCGGCTCAAGACGGATTCTGTTCACCAAGGTTGACTTCATCGGTCCCGATCCAGGAGGCGACCACCTGGATCAATGGGGGGTCACCTCGGTCGCCTTTTTCGGGTTTGGATGACACTATACTACATGATGCCCGGGATCAAGGCATCTCAGCCTGACGTTGCCACGCCCTCTGCCCGGTTCTACCAACACAGCGCGACAGCCACTGTCCGGTGGACTGCTTGCGATATTGGGTCTGGGGCTAACAACGTTCTGGCACAATCCTTCTTACTGGACTGGACACATGGGGTACGCATTGGGGAGGCGCTCCATCCTGGTCCAGGCTCTCGGTTTCGCATTTCCACTTCCAATCCAGGTGGCATGCGCGGCAAAGAGCCTCACTTTATCTCACTTGGCCCTGGCATTCACGCTGCTTCGGAAACACATGTCAGTACAGCAACCTCGGGCTCTGTGAAGCGCTCACTACAATCCCTTGCATCCCAAGATGGCAGATTTGTTCGGATACATACTGGCCATCCCTCTTCATTGAGACAGAATTCTACTTGGGCGGGAACTTGGACGGGTGTTGCCACCTTTGGAGATTTTCCCAGTCATCCTGTTGACCTTCGGTGGCCGGATGAAATTTGGGAGTCAAGCCGGGTCCAAGTCACCTCCCACCTCGTGGGGGCTCATCGCGTTCTGATCGCGAACGTCTACGGCTACGCCCGAGGGCCTACCTGGCCCCGTGCTCATCAACTCACGGGCGAAATCCTGAAGTTCCTTACAAAGCATTTGATCGTTGGGTATAGCGGTCTTGCTGCAGTCGTTGGAGATTTCAATGCTTCTCCAACTGAGCTTGACGAGTTCAGCGTCTGGCGATCCGATGGTTGGCAAAGCTCACAGCAGCTTGCCCTGGACCGCTGGAACACTCCCATTTCCAATACCTGCAAAGGTGCCACGGAACGAGATCATATCTGGCTTTCACCTGCCCTGGCGGCCATTTGTGGCTCAGTCACACAGAGGTCGTGGTCAACGAACCACACCCGCGGTGCAGACAACCACGCCCCCCACCTGTCGGGCGAGCAGACAAGGCGAGGTGCAGCTTTGCTACGATCTACCTGGACAAGCCGTCTTGCGATGGTACCGTCAGCTGAGGAGATTGCAATCATATCTACATGCGGCTCGATCAGCTAAATCCACAATTGATGCTCAGATTTACAGAGCCGAACTTTGGGCTTCAATCCGCCGATCCTCCGGGTTCCAAATGCCATTTCCGCGCTGGTGGGACACACAATTTGACAATGATATTGGCTCTTTGCCGGCGTATCCGCCCACTGCAGTACAAGCAGAATGGATTTTCACGGCCTTCGAGCGGCGGTTCCGGGAATTTGAACACTGGCATTATTTGCAACGGCTTCAACTTCTCAGTGCAAAGCGCGAACATACATTTCAGGCTCCAACACCAGGCGGGAACAGATCGATGCATTGTGGGAAGAGCAGGAATTTACAATTCTGGCCACAGACATCTCGAGCGGCCAAGCCCACCTTGATGCGGAGGTTTCCACTATCCCTCGGAGTACCTGGACTTACGACGACCAACCGGTTCTCGTCTCTAATATCGAAGGAGACATCATCACTGCACAGACCAACCTGCAGCTTGTAGCGGGCGACAGTCTAACCCAGAGAGTTCATCACTCTTCACCTGCAGAGGTCATACACCAACTCGGCGAACATTGGCGCAGCAGATGGATTGCTTCAGCACCACCATCAGAATCAGATATTGACCGCATTGGCAATTTTGTCAAGGGGTACATGCCCACAATTCGTTTCAACTTCCCACCCATTTCAGAGCGCCAGTGGCGCAAAGCTTTGCATCATTTTAAGCCAGGAGCAGCACGAGGCGCAGATGGGTACCAACATACCGATCTCGCTCATATGAGCTCTTCGCAAATACATGCATTGCTTAGCCTTATCCACTCCATTGAGAACCTTGAAACTGCTTGGCCTGACCAATTGCTTGAGGCATTTGTCATTGCTCTAGCAAAGCAGGATGACTCGCATACAGCAGGACAGTTTCGGCCGATAGTGCTGCTGCCGACCGTTTACAGATGCTGGTCTTCAATCAGATCCAGGCAACTTTTGGAGCAACTTGACGGCTATATCCATGAAGATGCCTTTGGGTTCATCCCAGGCCGTGAGACAATGCAGGTCTGGCTCCCCCTGCAAGGACAAATTGAACTTGCACTTCAATCAGGCGCCGACTTGTGCGGGCTTTCCACTGACGTTGTGCGTGCTTTTAATCATATTCGACGGGATCCGTTGTTTATGTTGGCGCAACACCTTGGAATACCGTCACAGATATTGGGCCCTTGGAGAGCATTCCTCGCTGGCTTCAGACGTCGGTTCAAGGTTTTGAATCATATTGGAGACCCGCACTTGTCCGATGTAGGCTTTCTCGAAGGATGCCCGCTCAGTGTTTTGCCATGGCTTTACTTAGCTGGTGTCTACACTGCTACCAAACGCAGTTCTGCCCCGCTGTACGCACACTGAGTTTCGTGGACAACATCATCCTTACGGCAGATCAGGCACCGGCAATCGCGGCTGCCTGGTTTTCACTACAGGCCTTCTTTGCACTATGGGGAATGACCTTGGGTTCCTCCAAGACGTACACTTGGGGCACTACAAAACACACCAGGCGCGGTATTCTGCCTCTGGGATTCTCCATGGTGCTTGATGCCCGAGAGCTTGGTGGCATCATGTCCCCCACGAAGCAGAGACGCAATCGCCTATTCGCTCAGCGTGGAACGCAGCAGGAAGACAGATGGTTGCGACTCCGTCGCTCACGCGCGCCCTTTGCCAAGAAGGTAGCTATGTTGCCAATGGTTTTCTGGCCGAGCATTCTACACGGTGCCAGCAGTTGCCCGATCTCGGACAATCACCTGAAAAAACTCCGTACATCAGCAGTCCGTGCCTTGGGAGTTGCACATGGCGGAGCCAGTCCGCTCATTCGGCTTTCAATCAGCAAGCAGCCTACTGCGGATCCGGGTTACTACCAGCTTCTTCACACGGTGCATGATTTTCGGCGCATCAGCAAGAAATCCCCACAGTTGCAAGAGCAATGGAATGCCGCTGAAAGCATAAGCTCCAATGCCACCCTGGCAGGACCTTTCACGAAGCTCAGGCAACATTTCCTTACAATTGGATGGCAGATTTTGGTGCCTCCCCTTTTCACCGATCATGATGGCTTCATTCACAACCTCCTCACACTGGACTCGGTTGCCCTTGACTCCTTATTGGAGGAAGCGTGGATGCAGCATGTGGCAGAACGAGTACGGCACCGCTCCACACTTTCGGATTTGGCAGGCATTGACAAGTTTCAGACCCTTCAATTTGATGACAAACTCACGCCTTTGCAGCTCACGCAGATCAACTGCATACGGGAAGGTTCGTTCATTTCCCCCTGGCAACAATCCCGGTTTGACCTCACCAAACATGCAGACTGCGCCGTTTGCAATGTACCGAACACGCAGCTTCATTGGATTGAGTGCCCAAAATTTGCGGAGCACAGGCTGGACCAACCAGAGATTCTGACGTGGTTACAGACGAAACCCTGCAGCTTCATGCAACATCTATTGGTCCCACGCTCACCCTACTTCACGAAGTACAGGCAGACACTCTTGCAGACGCCTTGCAGTTTTGAGTTTTACTCCAAACCCACTGGCGGCATGCAACACATCTTTACAGATGGAAGTTGTACGCGACATGCGGGGGGTACAGCTCCACTTGCAGCTTGGGCGGTCGTGAATGCTAGCAGCTCTGACGTTATCTCCGGGGGTCATTTGGCTGGTCTTACGCAGTCAAGCAACCGCGCAGAACTTCAGGCGCTTATCGCAGCAGTATCCTGGGTTGCCACTTTTCAGTGCAATGCTCAAATCTGGTGCGACTCTAAGAACACAGTACAGGTAGCTACAGCACTGCAGCAGGGCGATCACAGATGCCTTCGTGGCACGCCGGATAACCACGACCTCTTGGCAGCTCTTGCGGAGCAAATCCAGCACACAGAGCCACGGCAGCTTTCAATACACTGGATACCTTCGCATTTGGACTTGGTACAATGTGCAGACGGGTTTGAGGAATGGATTTGCACTTGGAACAACATTGCAGACAGCATTGCTTTCTCTTTCAATGAGAGCCGGGAGCCCTCACTTGAGCGTATCTTGCAAATGCAGACGCAGTGGTGCAACAATTGGACGCATGCAACTCGGACCATGCAGACGTTTTACCTTGCTGTCGCCGCTTCGATCCAGCATGAAAGCGAACCGCAGTTGCCCGAATTGCAAGGTGGGCGCGAACCACAGCTTGACTGGGCCGCACATGTTGGGCATTACAGCCTCGCTGAGCAGCTCCCGCTTGCTTGGTTTCAGACCCCCGGCCTTAGCACTGGTCAGTGCCCTGTTGAATTTACAGCGCAGTTGGTTGCTCAACTGGAGGAGTGGGATGACGTTGCATGCCAACTTGAGCCCATCAGTATGATCGAGCTCACATTTTTGCTCATACAGCAAGCTGATTTCGCTTTTCCGGGCCGAGCCAATTCCGGGGCCCAGCGAATGAAGCCTTTGAGGTCTCTCTTCACCCGTCCAACCTTTGCCTTTTTGGTTGGGGTTGTTCGTTCTTGTTTGCGGCTGCTTTGCCGCTCGTTCGGTTTGGGGTGTTTTCTACTGGACGGGTTGGACAGATCTCATAGTCGCATTACTTGCCGAGCTGACGGCATAGTGCTTCGCTTGGCGGAGGCACATCGCCAGCGAGCGATTGGCTTAGTTGGCACCTTTTCCAACGGCCGCGGCCTTCGCAAGGCATCTGACCTTGCAAGGCCTGCCGTATAGGCTGGACGACTCGGACATAGCGCTGCACCGCAACTGCCGTGCACGCTCTGAGCACAGCTTCGTTCGCGCTAAAGAGTTCACATGCTTAACCATTGGACTTTGCATTAGTTCAAAAAACTATCTAATAACCCAGCACAGACCGGCCGGTTTGGAGGCGTGGTTTACCTCACGGTGGAGCGCCGTGGTCTCAGTGAAAGGCCAAGGGCTCGGGGTGGCAGGTGGCCTTTGCCGCCCCATGCTGAGGCGAGCTGGCGGCTTGCTTTTTGGTCTCATGTGTTACTTGCTTCCTTTTTTTTGGTTCATGCTTTGGAAATTGATTTGGTTCAACTATGTTCTGGTTTCATGCGTTGTTTTCATGTTTCCTCTTTTTGCTGCATATGTTTATCGTTTGATCAGTTTTATGGTCTTTTTTTCCCTTGCTGTCGGTGCTTTCACTGCTTTCCAAATATCTGTTCGAAATTATTGTAAACGCTTCGCGTTGCGTGCCTGGGCCAGTTAGCGTTTGGCTGGCTTTGAGGTATATACTGTGCTTTAGGCGAATTTTTGTTCTCCTTTCTTCCTCCCTGCCCCCTCGCTCCAGTCCTTCCTACCTTCCTACCTTCCTACCTTCCTTGCTTTCTTGCTTTCTTTCTTTCTTTCTTTCTTTCTTTCTTTCTTTGTGTCATACTTGCATTGATTTTTGTTCAAGCTTGCCTTCTGTTTGATCTTCAAGCCTGCCATTCCTGCCTCTTCAAGCCCCACCCCTGATCTACATGGATGCGTGCCATAAATTCTGCGAAAAGTAACATATCCCAATGCGCTCCGATTCTCATTGCCAGTTTGAAGCTGTTGCCAAGTTTGACTTGCACCTGTTTGCTTGTTTGCCTGATGTGCACGCACCCGTTTTGGATTTACAGACCATGCTCCTGAGTCTCTGGCTGGCCGAGCTTCGAGTGCCGTGTGTCCCCGCCTAGGCCAACGCGCCCTGCATTTCCACATTATGGACCACTTGCCCTGGAGACACTTCGGGCGAAAGAACGTGGCTATGGCTGCACCCAAAGATTTGAGCAATCCACCCGTCCCAGACCGCGGGCACACCTTTTCGAAGGGAGGAGTGGTTTGAATCACAATATTGCCTAGCTGAAGCAGTTGAGGCACATGTGATAGGGACTTCAAAGGCCCCCTAAGGATTGCTTCCGTTTCAAGCGCCTCTCTTCGTGGAGAGTTTGGGATGCAGCTGGGATTCCACAGCCAGGGGAGGATCCCTCTATAAATTCTGCCTGCGTCTTGGAGAAGGTAACAACAGTTGACGCATGCCCATGGTCTTTAAGTCGTTGATCCAAAAAGGACTCTTCCGCAACCGGAACACATGGGACGCTTCATGTCTTGGAATGACCTTCACGGCCATTTAACTGCGTCACAGAGAATGAAGACAGACCGTGCTAGCGGTGGATTTCTTGAGCATGTTGACGGGTCGGGGGAAGCGCGCAGAGGTGGGCTTTCTGTACGCTATCGCGCTCGGGGCCCGGGACAACGGTGGGCGCGGATGGGATTCTGGGTGCTCTTGCCCCAGGAGCCAAGAAATGCCAGCCGGGTCAAGCCAAGCCGGGACGACTTTTTGCTTGGAGTTTTGCTGAGGCATGCAAAGAAAGCTGAAGTTGGCCTAAAGCTTTCAGGAGAAGCATGCGCAGAGCAAGTTTTGCAAGCTTGCTTGGGCATATTTAATCAGGGGATCATTGAAGGGTCAACCCGCGCTTTGGTCACAAAGGCGGATGCTATCATCGCGTAAGCTGACACGAGTTGTCATCATCAGTTCTAGCAATAGCCGGCTCTTACTTCCGCGCTGTGCAAGGGCAGAACTTGCCATCAACGGAATATGAGCAGCCCACATCTCATTCGCACGTGCACGTATGCTCTTATTCATCCGGTTCTTCCCAAGCTCCAGAGCAGCTGGTTTCCACAGGAGTGATTGCGAATCAAAGTGAGCTCAGGGAGGTTTTCGCCTTGAACCCCAACATGTTGCAGGCTCTTCATCCAAAGCTTTGGGCTTTCCATGTTGCGAGCCTTGTGCACGGAGCCATTTTGTCAGCATGCTTCCAGGCACGGCGCCAGAATCATCTATGACACCGACGACGACAACCGGCTGAAGGCACCCCATTTTTTTGGGCGGAGACCTTTTCTGATGTTGGTCGGTGCTTTGGAGTACCTTTTCACCGACTAACATGGAAGCGCAAAAGGCATTTTCCAAGACACTTCCATGCTGGCTGGTGGGAGGGTAACCTGTGGATTTCCATCTTTCGATCTCCATAACCTGGACGCATCGTGCTGTGCTTCAGGAGGCGAGGATACCCATCTTGGGCTTCGGCGACGGCGCGTCCAGTCCGGCCACTGGGCGGGTTTCTTTTTCAGGGCGCACCAGTCCGGCCTTTGGTCCTGCGGACTTCTTTTGAGTCAGCTCGGCAGGTGCCCCCTCCAAACCATCCAGATCCAACTAGGGCGGTTGCGTGGTGTGTTGTATTGGCTTGTCGCCCTTCTTCTGTGTGTGCTTTTGTGTGTCCTGGGAGCTTGGTGGGGAGAAAGTTGTCAAATGTTGAAGGGGTGAGGCATGTTCATGTGGCCATGCGACCTCGCCCGAAGAACTGTTCGTTTGCTGGCCCTTATCTTAGGTCGCATAGGTGTCCTTTTTAATTATTTTAACAGATATATAGATGGTGATTCCTGGTTACCTGGTGGTTTAAGCATCTACCAGGGCCATCTATTTCCCCTAAAAGGACACCTATTCTAGGTCGGTGAATCCTGAAGTGCAGAGGACGGTCTCTCCATCAACGTCTCACGGCCGCTCTTTGAGGAGCCGGGGACTTTGCCGCTTGGACAGCCTGGACTTGATCAGCGGAAGGTCGCCTGAAGGTGGCGGACAACAACACAAAGACGCCACAAGGGCAAGTGCATTTCAACAACAACGGCACAAGAAAAGGGAAGAGCATTCACACACACACACATATACAAAAAGACGTCATGACTTTCTTCTGACTGGGATATCTTTGCCAGAGATTCTGCTTGTCTTATGTGGCTGGGTGGGTAAGGGGACACCATCCGCCTGCAGCTTTTAAACCGGCACCGACTCCGAGGCAAAAGACGAAGCCGGGGCTCCTGAATCCCTATCCCAGCTTCAGGCGGGCACCTCTTCTGCTTGCCGAAGGGATCAGAAGGGTTTGCGGGGAGTGCGTGACTCATGCGCCAACATGACGCTGGCCTTCGGCTGGTCTGGCTAGGTTTTCCGTTGTTGTTCCTTTGCGCGCCGCGAAAAGGATCGGCAAGCAGCCTCCCCACAATCTGGAAGAGGCAACTTGAGCTTTCTACGTCAAGGGGCATCCCTTTTTGAGCCGCGCCAGAGTCGACGCCCAATCTGCGTGCGAGTCGTGGCGCCAAATGCAACCAGAGTTCTGGTGTTCTCAGAGCCCTCCACTTCTCCGGGCCCGATCAAGGCGTTTTTTTTTTTTCTGGCCAAAAGCCCTTGAAAGGTTGACGCGCCTATGCCGCTTCATGCCTTTCTCTGCCTTGCATCCTCGCCTGTAACCGGGAAAAATCAAAATCCGGGTGGCGAACAAAAAAGCTTCAGGCAGAAGTGAGAGGGAAACTTTGGCAGCAAGGCATGGGGAGAAGTTGAAACGGCGCCCGGCTCCTCACGGCCGGCCGCGGCGCCCAGAAAAACCCACCGCCTCACTCAAGGAACCCTCCCCATACCCAAAACCCCTTTGCCTCTGTAGTTAGCTCATTCCCGTCTTTTTAAAGATGGCACCTTTTTGGATATAAGCAAGTTCCCCAATTCTGAATAGATGGGTTCCACTGGTTTAGGTGGGGCTTCTTCCTTTTGCCAGGGATTCCCCATCAATTTCTCGCCAAAAGGCACCTCTGCCCTCCCCTCACCGCCCCAGCGCTTGCGCGCAATTCTTCGAGGCCCAGCTGCGGGCACATCTGGCCCCGGGGCTTCCCGCTGGACTTTGTGCAGGCGGCGGCCACCTTCGACCGCAGCCTGGCGCCGGCGCCCCTTGGGCTGTCAGCAGAGGTGAGGGGCGAGGAAGGGGCGAGGAATGAGCGGCGGAAGTGGGGTGGGAAGGGGTGGGCTGGGCGCTTTTTGGAGAGGCGCTTCATTTTGTTGGCCGGGGTTCTTTTTGGGGGTCCAAGGAAGGTGCGGGCGAAGCAAAGCCAGGTCCAATTTCTAGAATCCACAAAAGGGTGGACAGATAGCAGTACGCAGGAGGCAGTTTACGGTCCCGCCTAAAGCGCGGCCCGGGGTCAAACTTCAGGCAGTTGAGCCGTCCGCCGGCGGTGCAGCAGTTCCTGGCGGACGAGGATCCCGAGACTCGGCCCGGGTTCTCTTGAACTTGGCAGTCTGAAGGTGTCCTTGGAATCGGGGGTGCGTTTCTGGGGGAAAACCACACCGGGGTCCCGCTGGTCGCTGCGATGCGTCATAGCTCATGCCATGAACATGACACCGGCCAGTACCAACATACGTAGGCATCGTGCTGCTTCTGTGATTTCTGTTCACGCCTTGACTGGTTTGAGCGTCGCCTTTAAGTCTACTGTTGGTGGGCTGATGTTTTCTTGGTGGCTCCCATCCATCCCCTTAGCTTTTTAGCCTTTCAGAGTTTGGGGATTCCCGTTTCACCCACCAAAAGTGAGTCAAACTTCTTAGCGGGGGATCAGAATGAAACCGGGCCCAGTTTGGGTGGAAAGGTATGGGGAGTCCTGTTTGCTTCCCCAGCATTAGCTCCCCTTTTTGCCTTTTTGCTTTTTTTGGGGTCCCTTGTTTTCCACCAACCAGCCAGGGGGCCCTTTCTTCCAGCCTAGTTTGGGGGCCTGAGATCTGGCGGATTCTGCCGGTTTCCGAGGACGTGGACGCCATCTTCCGGCTCACCCGGCCTCTGCCTTGCACCTTCCAGGGCCAGGCGAAGCGGATTCCGAAAAAAAAAACTCCCCGGCGAGTGGCGATCGCGCGCTTTCTCGGGGCTGTGGGGGAAAGAATGGGATGCCATGGCTGTGGCTCAAACCGCGGGTTTTGGTCCACGTTTCCACTTACCAGGGCAACCCATTTTGGTACCGGTTTTTTGAGCCACACCCATATGGCTTGTTGTTTGGATTTTCGTGTTGACCCCATGTCAACCACAGGAAGTCCAACTCCAGTTTATTCATAGGGTGTCGGAACCTGGGCGTTTAGTTGGGAATCAGACCACTAGTGAACTGGGGTTGGTTGTTCTTTGAGCCCAACGTTATGTTTGGAATCTCCGGTGCGCTGAAATCAGTCCTGAGCAGAATAGAATTATCCTCAGCAGGAAATAGAAGTGTACCTCCAGAAAACCAGGAATACACATTTTTTTGTTTGGACAGTATGCCACGCAGGGCAGGGGGATCAGTCGAGTGTTCTCTCGACTTGGGAGGCGAGGGGTTACATGCTCGGCCGGGGGCGTGAATGGTCTTTCGTTTGGGCGCTGAACCTTTTGGCTTTGTCTCGCACATTACGCCCCCACGCTGTGTGAAGGCAACTGTTGGTTAGATCTGACACGCGGAGCTGCTTGAAAGGTTCCGCCTGCTTGTCCGGCACATTTCTCTTGTGCTTCAGCGGCGCACAGGCGCCTGAGCTCCCAGCCGCCATGGCCATTCCACCTCAGTGTCTTGGCGATGGTTGGGCGCAGATGGCCATCAAAGAGAGCCGGGTCACACACACACACACACTCACAAACCACGCCGCGCTTTTGCGTGCATGAACACATGTTGTGTGGGGTCATTATGACAATTGTCAGTGTCAGCGCAAGTTGGGAATATGATCACTGTTGCGCATGTTTACCCGCATGGGAATGGAACCATGCCCTGTTTTGAACCTTTGCATGGGCTGGTGATTTGTATTCCCCACCGTTAGTGTCAGGTGCCCAGGCTGGAGCCCGTGGCAAGTCTTGCCGGTGCTCAGTAGGGACTGACCTCCCGGGTGTTGAGAATGAACCTTTTGGGTTTATCCCTTCAGGGAAACCACAAGGCCGTTGTTTTTTTTGGGGGGTCAGACTCCCTTTCTCATTTTCCGCCGATCGACCAGCAAGAAGGTACTTCACGCCCTACAACGCGCAGGCGACGGTGCACCTCTACGCATCTTGGCTCGGGGGAACTTCAGTGACAGTTGGGTGGACTGGGTGGACTTGGCTTGGTTCCGAAAAAGCGCCCGCGATGCGGCTGGCTCAACAGGGGCAAAGTGGTTTAGGGGGCCGAAGGCATCGCCCAGTTTCGCGGGTTGGGCATGACTCCAGAACATGTTGGTTCTGTTCTTGCTTTCAAGTGCGGGGAAACATCAGAAGGCGCAACCGGCCGTTTTTTGCAGGTCGCAGATTCGTTGGTATTGTTTGCAAGCAGCATATGAGCTTTGACCAAGCACTCGATTGCGACGGCTTCGGCTTTCAGGAGTCGTTTTGGGGCCTGCTGCTTCCAGTGACGGTCCACGGCCGCGTCTCCGACATTTGGCGGGCGTACCTCACGCAGAAGCTGCTTTGGGACGCGGACTGGCCTGATTTTAGTGGGGGCTTGGTGTGCGGCACTGGGCTGTGCAGCTTGCTGTCCTGCATGGGCACATCAAGTGCCGGTTTTCCCGCGTTTTCCAGCGGGTTCGGCAAGCCCTTGTTTGCGGGCGAGGTTTGCCGTGGGGCGCGGTTCAAAGTTCAAAGTTCGAGATCTGAGGTCGGCCAGGTGGTGTCCTTCGTGCCGCCGCACGTGGTTCACGATCGGGTGGCGCATGACTACCTCAAGGACTTTCAGAGCGAGGGGGATCTCCAGCCCGGATACCCAGTAAGCGATAGGAGCTCACCCCTTCGCGATGGAATGCCCCAAGTGCTTGGTGGTCATAACAGGGCCTGGATGAGGCGAATCAGATCCAACCAAACCCACATGCCAATGCCACAGACTTCGTGCAAGTTTTGTCCTCAACACTCTGGTGGGCAACATTCCGGTCGCATATGCCACCGGTCTTCTGTGTTTTCGTGGGCAGCTGAGTTTCTTGCACGTCGGTGCCTAGCTAAAGGGCTTGGTTCTGATAGTTGCCTCCATAGCCAGCCCCCGAAAACCCACATTCGGAGAGCTTGTGGACACGTGGACTTGGGTTTTTCTAGACCGTCCGCACCGAGAAGTTTCAGCACGAGGCCATTTTCTTCGGTTTCGATGTCTGTGGTTTCGATTTCACGTTGCCAGAATTTGGGGACGTTTGGGTCGTCGGGTGGGCGGTTTGGATTGGGGATTTGATGGTCTGGTTTCTTGTTGGCAAAAGGGACCCCCGAAAGCCTGAATTGGTGCTCTGGATTGCTTTTTTTTCCCTTAGACCCCGGTTCCGGTGGGTGAACTTCGGGGGTTCCACCCCCCCCTCCCCTTCCCCCGCCCGCCCCATTTTCCGCCCAAACCGCCACTGGGTTCCAACTGTCAGGTTGAAGTCCACTGCCTTGGTCACCTTCCTGGCGCACTGGTCCAGCGACGCCCCCACGCTGGTGGAGCGCATCGAGCAGCTCTGGGGGGCGCTGTATGCCCGCCCCCCGCCTGTATGCGCTGTATCCGGGTGTGTGGGAGGGGTATGTGTGAGTGTTGCCATGCTGCTCCCGCGCAGGAAGGGGGGGGGGGTCGATTTCAAGGGCGGCTTTTCGACGTGGCTTGAAGGGGGTTATGGCCATGTAAACCAACGCAGCATAACGCAGCGATCAAAGGGGAGTTGGGCACGTCTATTCAACATGAAGCAGTTTCATCAGTGCTCAACTGAACAGAGCCATCACAATCACTTGGCGAGCGTCCGATTCGAATTGTAGCTGGGTTGTGAGTTGTGTCAAATGACTGCATTCCCTCAAACGTCAGTTGGCCATGCATCTTAATATGGCAATCTTACCTCCATCCATGGGGTTACGATCTTTGCAGTGGGTGCTAAGGATTGTGGATTGGGATTTGCAAACTCTCTTGGTATTGCCTTGCATCGACCTCTTGGCTTGGTGGTAAGACCAGGTGAGGGAGGATGAGCAGGGAGAAGTCAGGTTCAGAGGACTGTGCGTGTGTTTCCGTGTTTCTCTTTGTTCCTAGCATTCCTCTTCCAGGCGGCGTGTGCATCCGAGGCGGCTTTGTGGAGCTGGAGGATTTGAGGCTGGGAGGGCTGGCGAGCAGCATGTTTGCAAGAGACCCTTGGTCATCAGCTTGTAGTTGCGAAGGGCCTGGGAGCACTTATCAGCAGCGCCCAAAACCACCCGTTGGCCGTGCTGGTAGAAAGGGCGGGTTTTTTTCGTCCAGGCAACAAAAAAAAAGCCTGTACACTCAGGTTGGGAGTGCAGGCAGAGCCCGAAGTCCGTGTGTTGTGGCCGAAACCAACCCTACCCCGAAACCAACCCTAAACCTAGCCACAAGCACAGGACCGCAGGACCGCTGGACCGCTTGCGCCCGCTTCAGGCTGGCTCAGGCCTGGATCCGGGACCTCATCTCCGTGGGCTACGACTTCCCGGAGTTGGAGCTGGGGAAGATCATGCGCCCTGGGCCTTTTGTTGAGTGTGCTTCTTCGGACTTTTTTGTTTTTGTGAGACATGGGGTGTATCCTCTTTGTGGTATTTTTATGGTTGTAACTGGAGCTTCAAAAGTTGGGAGCTTTCTTTTTTGCCTTTGCCGATGTTTGGCTTTGCTCTTCCTTTCGTTCCCTTGTGAGTGGAGGGAGGGGACATGGGTTTTGGAGAGCGTTGTTTGGGCAAGACATAGTTCGCCCTACTTCCATCGCGAAGGGGGGTGGGGGGGGGGGAGGGGGAGGGGTTTGATTTCATACACGAAAAGCAGACACCGTGGAGAGTGATGCTAGGCTTGAGCAAAGTCGTGGAAAGTTAAAGGACAGAACCATGCGGTGATTCCAGGCTGGACTGATTTGCTGTTGGGCTTGCCAGCCCAAAGATGCGCCATCGGCCCAGGTGGGTGGAGGCTGACAGCCGGAGTGAGCTCTGAGCCCGATCCGCGTCGCTGGGAGAAAGGCCGTGTGGGACAAATCTGGCGGGGAAGGCAGGGACCATGACGCTACACGCATGGCCGCGGCCATTTCTCTCGCCAGCTAAAGCCTTGCTCAAGACATCCAACCCATGGGCTGCCTTGTCGTCTACAAGTAAGGTGAGCACGAATATCCAAATATTCAGGCTGTCAACTTGGAACCGGCTTCTCAAAGTTTGCGCTTTTTCCTTTGAACTTCACCTTCTTCATCACGATGTGCTCACGTCAGCTGTATCATGCCATTAACATGCAGGGCCCGTAGCTGACACAGGCTGAAAACATATGACATGAGGCAATATGAGGGGATGAAGCCGGTCCCTGTCACGTGAAGAAACTTAGCCAAAAGTAAGACACGATTGTGTCTCAGTCTCATGCCGGGAGGCGGAGTGCTGGGAAAGATTGGAGGCTGTTTGAGAGTTTCTTTCTTGCGAAGTGGAGGGTTGAACTATCTCTGGTTGTTTTTTCTTGTTCTCTTTGACCTGCGCTGAGTCCCCCCCAAAACCCCGCCACCTGGCGCTTGCGCATTTTCTTCTGGGCGGGTTGGGAGCCATGGGCTTTGATGAGACCGCGCAGCGGCGGCGGTCGATGCATGAGCTGGCCTGGCCGCCCAGTCCGCGTCTGCGGGCGTGGGAGGGGGAGAGAGCTGCGGCTGGTGCAGTCGGGGTTGACCCCTTTAGGGAAGTGAACCGATTGCAAGGATTGGGGTTGCTAGGCGAGTGTTGGGGGGCCTCTTTCTCTCTCTCACTCTCCCGTCTTTCTTTCTTTCTTCCTTGCTTGCTTGTTTGCGTGCTTATTTCTTTCTTTCTTTCTTTCTTTCTTTTTCTTTCTGGTTCTTTGTTGTTGTTTCTTTTTCTTTCTGTTTCTTTCTAGTTCTTTCTTGTTCTTTCTTTTTCCTTCGTTCTTTCGTTCTTTCGTTCCTTCCTTCCTTCCTTCCTTCCTTTCTGCCTACCTTCCTTCCTTCGTTCCTTCCTGCCTGCCTTCCTTCCTTCCTTCCTGCCTGCCTGCCTGCCTGCCTGCCTTCCTGCCTGCCTGCCTTCCTTCCTTCCTTCCTTCCGTCCTTCCTTCCTTCCTTCCTTCCTTCCTTCCTTCCTTCCTTCCTTCCTTCCTTCCTTCCTTCCTTCCTTCGCCGTTTGTTTCATGGTGTTTTTCTTTCTCTATCACTTTCCCTTTGTCTTTCTTTTACTTCCTCTTTTCTTGCACTTCTGAACTCAAGGCTCCACGGCTTCTCCGGGCTTTGCGCGTGTGGACTCCCCCCCTTTTCTTGTGGTCACGACGCGCCTTTTGGCGAATCAGGACGCTGAAGTCCCGGCAACGTTCACCACATAGGTGTCCTCCTTCGTTGTCTTGCTTAAACAAGTAGAAGGGTTTCGATTCCTGGAAAACACCTGGTGGTTCAACCATCCACCAGGGAAACCCATCTATGGTTCACCACTTCTCTGAGCTCTTCGGGAGAAGGGGGCAGTTCACGGCAGGGAGAGCGGCCGGGTGAACCGCGCAGAGCGGCCACGTGTTTAACATTCATTTTTTGACATATCTCCTGGATTCTTGAGAGGGTAAGCCTTTAATTAGCAGTTCAGGATGTTTTACATTTTTTTGCCGTTTACACCACAAAAAGAGCCTTTTCTTGCCCCTCGCCTCCCCCGACGTCCCCGACATCCCCGAGGTCCCCGGCTCTCGACTGAAAATCCTGAGGCGGTGGGGCGCTGGCGCAGCAACCGCGAGGGCTGCACGCCCTCGGTCTTTCTGTCCCTCGCGGGGCTCGCGGCCAGCGCTCCTCGCCAAAAACGTCGCGACGTCGGGGGGGGGAACGAACGGGGGGGGGAAGCGGCGGTCGGGGGGTGGGGGGAGGGGGGAGGGGGGAGGGGGGGGAGGGTTTTCCCATCCAGAGGTAAATGCCATAAACCCCATCTAAACCAGCGGAACCCATCCATCTTTGACCAAACTAACCTAGAAAGGACACCGGGGCTATTGTTTTTGCCAAAAGGCCACCTATTTTCCCATCCCATGCCGGACCGCCTTTCTTTTTTGTGGGAGGGGGGGGGAGGAGAGGGTTTGGGAGGGAGGGGCAGGTGTTTCTTAGTTCCTTGCTGGTGCGAGAGATGCAGGGAATGAGAGTGGAATGACGAACCATCCAGCTGGTGGCTCCTTTCGGGTGACCAAAGCCCAGGTTCATTCCAATTCTCATTCCCTGAGCACTAGCAATCGTTTGAATAGCTAAAAAGGTGTGCGCCAACTCCGAGCAAGTGTGCCAAGCCATTGTCAACTATGCTTCGCAGCTGGTCGAACGTTGATCCTGGGATCGGCCTCGTTTTTTTTCTTCTTCTTCCTCTCCCCCCGTGGACATCGCAATTGCATCCATCTAAGGCCGTCGGTCTCACCTTGGGCATCTTGTTGTTCAACGTGCAGCGCCTTGGGCGAATGCGTCCAAGTCAGGTTGGCCGCAAACCGCCGTGGGCGAATGGGTGGCCAGCAAAATGGGGCGTGGCGGTCGCAAGCTTGCTGAACTGAGCGTCGAACAACGTTTTCCTTGCGAGGCTCCTGGTGGATGTCAAGCAGTTATTGGGAATGCGGAGGACGTCTGCTGGTTGCCTAGCTTGTGCAACAGGCCCCGTTTTTCTTTCGGATCTCATTCCCCAAAGACTTAAGGCTAAAGAGTCCACTGCGCACCGTCATGTTTGAACAACACCCGAGCTGCCGGCTGATGTTGCGTTCAATACCGTGGCTCGTAGTAGCCTGCAAGAGAAGAGACGCGGTTTCATCCCGGCAGCCCTAGTTTGTTCCAAGACGTGGCATGGCGATGTGTTGGCGGGGCGCCCTTTTTTCGCCGCGAATCGCTCGCGAAACTGAATCGCCGCATCTTGGCGAATTGCGAGCGAGCGAAAAGGAGAGCAGGGAGTGGGGGGAGTCAGGTGGCGGCGATACGTGGTCCACCTGGGCGGATACATGGAGTGGAACTGCACATTGCTTTGGTGCTCGCTCAGCGCCTTGCCTCCAAGCAGTCATGGATCTTTGGAAAAAGGTACGGTTTACGGCCATTGAGACCCAAGGACGCAGCCTTTCCCCCCGTGTCAACCACGTCTTTCATTCTTTTTCCCCCCCCCCCCTTTTCTTTGGATGTCGGAGTGTGGATAGCCCACGGCGCGGGAGCCCCAGGATACACATACCCATCCTACTTCATGAAGGTGTCCCTGCTGAAGTGGGTCAAGCAAAAGCCCCTCTGCAGCAACATAGCGTGCAAGATGTGAAGCTCTGAAGGGGAAGCCGCTCTTTGTACCTGAGCCAAATTGGGCACCTTCGCCGGTGAAAGGCTTGCTGGCCAGGCTGCTGATTGACACCATGTGGCCTTTGCTTGGGAGGCACCAGCAGGACCCCTTATGGCACTTTTCTGGGTCTGGTGTACCAGATGAAAGGGCCTAATTTTCGCAGATGGCTCGCAGGTGCTCGCCCTAGGCCCTGGAGAGTGATGATCTCTGATGTGCGTGCTACCATATGCTTCCATGTGCCTCTCTTGCGGTGTGCGGAACTGTCCGTCATTTTTGAGCCGGTCATGGTTTGAAGCCAGGCAGACCCACCAAAAACAAGCAGCAGCAGGCTGCCTTTGTCAATCTCCCCGTCAGCACGGCTGGTGAGGTCCAAGAGCCCAGACACCGTGTCCTGGGTGGACAACTTCTACAACGGCACAGCGGAGACCTTCCCGACCCTCTGGGACTTGTGCCCTTGCCTGACTTTTGTGGTTGCGGCATGCGGTGCGGTGCAGAAGCAAATGTGTTGAGAGAGCGCGCCGGGATGTGGGGGCTGTGAAGGGCAAAACCAAGGGAGCAAGGGAATGAGGGGGTGAGGGAGTGAAGAAAGGGATAGATAGAGACAGAGAGAGAGAGAGAATGAGAGTGGAGGGAGTGAGGGAGTGAGGGAGTGAAAAAGAGGGCAAACGTGTGAGTGGAAAGTCTTGGAAACTTTGGCTCGGTGCCAAGACAGCTGCATTCGATCTTGCTACTAAGGAAGCTATGCAAAGAGAAAGGAGTGAGGCGCCTTGGCAATGCGTTCTCAGGCCGACGGCCACAAGTAGAGGTTGCTGAGTGGTACCCGTTCTTCCCTTTTTTGGGGGAAGGGTTCCCCTTTAAGTCCGTAAGTGCACATCCGACAAACATTTCTTGTGGCCCCCGCCGCCCTTTAGGCGGGAACGTGATTGCCTGTTTTTGCTTGCGCATGCTGACCACATGCTCCTGCCAAATAGATTTAATTCATGCCTAGCCCTTCCCCTTAGTGGGACGGCCTGATTTTTGGCTTCGGCCAGGATGTGGGCTCCACTCACTCCAATTGGGGGGGGGTGGGGTCTTGAGCAATGTGGCGGAACCAACCAAAAAAGGATGCCCTTTTTTTCCCATGGCCACTGGGCATTTGAGGGGGGTTTGGCGAACGCAGGCCGGGTCATGATGCTTCGCTGCTGGCTTTGGCTTTTTGGCTGAGGTATACTCTCTTCGGCAACTTCTGCCATCGCAGCACCTACTCCGGGAGAACCTTCGACACTCGGCGTACGCGGCTTTCGGCTTTTCGACTCGGACACCTTTGGCAGATGTTGCGGGGCCATGAAGCTACGCGACTTAAGCTACTTGACAGGATGCGTGGGAAGTTCAACCATGACATGTGGAGAGATGAACGCCCGATGCTCGTCCTCGTGACGAACTTAGTCGAACTGTCGAGAAGCATGCCTGGCACCGTGGATTTGCCTAACACCGTGAAACAAACTGGGACATTGTTGCGCCCTTGTACTTGGATGTTGTCCGTGGACCAGGCAAGGGGCGTAGTTAGAGGTCTTCACGCCCCACCAGGCTTTGCTTTGATAGGGGCCAAGGAACACAAATGGTTGGTTCTGATAGGTGGCCACGGGGTGCTTTCGTTTCTTTTTGGTTGGGGGGGGGGGTGGAACCCTTTAGAGCCAATTTGGGCCGATGATTGAGATTGCATATGCTAGGCTGGCTTGGCGTTCGCTGTTCCTGATTGATCGGCTCTTGGAGTTGTAAAGTTGTTTCTTCTTTGCCGTCAGAGTGGTGAGTCGGCAAAGTTCTGCTTTGTGTTCTAGCATTGGTGGGATTGTTTTTCCACAATGCTGAGGGTCCCCCGATGCACCAGTTCCAAGATAGGCATGTGAATGTTGTCGATGGCGTTGCGCTGCAGCCCTCCACCTCCACTCTCAGGATGGGCCAATCTGGGGCCGCCCGGCTAAGAGTCTCGGGGTGCCGGAGCGTGTCTTTGCGGCCCTTCCTCGCCGGGGTTGAAGTTTGAGAAGTCCACTCGTTGATTTCGCTGATCGCCGGCAATCCTCCTGACATAGGTGACTTTCATGCCTCTTTGCTTCTGAGCATTGCATGGTGGGAGCTATGGCAGGGCCCAGTAAAATGGCGAATTTCGGTGCTCTGAATTCATCGGTGTTTCTGATTTACTTGGTTATGTGCAACCGCGGGAAACAACTATTTCGGGCATTAGCCGATGTGATGCAAGACTCGATCACATCATCTCAGCTCGGAGTGTCAGCTGTCAAGTACTGACACCTCCCCGGCAACTTGGGGTGCAAATGCACATGGCCAGTGTCCAAGGTCTGAGGCTTGGCTCACAAGTCACGACGTGCGGGCTGCCAGACTTCCAACGAATTTGTTTAACATCAATGACAACGAGCCACATGTGCTTGGTTTGGGTCAGCCAGTTCGGCACAGCTATCTGGCTGGAAGCTGACGTGACAAGGGTTTCTCCCTCAAAGCATGACCTGGCAAGGTATTGTGAAACAGACCTCCCGGCTGGGGCTGCTTTTGCTGCTTCTGAGCGTGGTGACGGCCACGATGGTGATGCTTGGTGCAAAGGGGGGGCCAGGTGCGTAGAATCGTGCTATGCCTGGGTGTCCCAATTGTCATGGAAGAAATCGAGAACTCGCTGCTTCCTTCTTTTTTGTTTTTTTTTTTGGTGTGTCCCCGGCAATCGTAAGATGAGTCAGGGCCCCTTTGGTTTTGCGAGTCCCACGACTCCTTGGCCGGACTTTCCGTCGCCTCAGGGGCTGGTTCATCGTGGTGGACCACCAGGTCTTGGAGAAGGTGAAGAAGCCCCGGTGGCAGGTCTCCGAGGCGGGGCTTGCCGGGGACAAGCCACGGGGGGGGAAACGGTTAAAGCGGTTCGGTTTTGAGGTGGGTGCGGGAAGCGGAAAAAAAAAGACGCTGGGAGCCGGTCTGCCCGCAGGGAACGCGGCTGGGGGGGGGGGGGGGGGATTTTTCTCAACTTTTGGTTGAAATGAATCATTGGTAGAGGGCGCGGGATTCACCGAACCACCAGTACACCACCAGGTGGAAGCAACACCAATTGATGTTAATCACGGGTTAATAAACCCCTGGTCCTTTTAGTGGGGGTTCAGACTACTTTTGGAGGGGAATACCTTCGCTACTGGGACGGGTTTATAAATCCGGGGTCACCGAGTAGGCTGTACACAGCTCCAGGAGCGGACAGGCCAGCTGCGGATCTTGGCGAAGGTCGGCAGCGGTGTGGCGCCCATCTGCACCGTGCTGCTGGTGATGCAATATCGCCTCTGCGCCTCGGCGCCCTCTGCACAGGCCTTCATCCCCTGTGTTCTGGAAAAGCTCGGGGCAAAGGGAGAACTCATGCGCTTTTCTTTCCCCCCTCCCGGGTGAGAAAAAAGGAAAACAAGACATGGAAGCTTAGGTGTCCTTTTTAGGTTAGTTTAGTTAAAAATAGATGGCACTGGCTTAGATGGGGTTTATTCCATTTACCAGGGAATCCCATCTATTTTCCCAAAAGGGCACCTATAACACTGACGGAAGGAACAAACGGCTTCCATTGAGCATCAAACAAATTCAATTGGTTAGGGGATCAGCCAAGAAATTTGTTTTCGGGGATCAAAAATAAATTCATCCGGGTGAGGACAATTTTTCTTTTTGATCCCGTATATATTTTTTCGTTTGATCCGGCAGCCTTCCATTGGTCCGGCGGAGATTCCTCGCGAATTCGGCCTCCGAGGTATCGCGAACTTCGAGGAGGCGGGGGGCGTGGCCATGCAGACCTGGCTGCTGGTGCTGCTCAGCAGCCAGTCCAAGGAGGCGCCTGCCGCGCCTTTCGGCTGTCGAAAGAACTGGCCCCCTTTGGCCTTTGGGAAGCTGGGAAAAGGCTTGGGAGATGGGAGGTGTTGGGAAAGGCAGGGCTTGGGATGAGATTTGGAGCTTTGGAGCTTTGGAGATTTGGAGATTTGGGGGTCAAGGCCGGCTCGCCGTTTTTGTTTGGTTGGACCGACCTCTCGCTCAATCCGCGTTGGCCTCCGACCAAACCTCCCTGCGCGCGCGGACGCGGATCGGCCAGGTCCAGATGCCCTGGGGCACGCTGTGGTTCCTGCTGGCGGGCCTGCTGCAGGCCATTGTGGCCATCACCGCGCTGCGAGGTCCTCTGAGGCGGGGGCGTTCCTCAAGCTGGAGTTTCAATTTCGGGAGGCCTGTGCTCCGGTTAGTGGATTGTTGTTATTTCATGTCCGGAAAAGGTCAAGTTGATATCAACATCACTGACCAGAATCAAACATGGAGGCCGATTCCTGGTCTTTTCCTCCTCTCTTTGTCCGCGTTGTTTTTGTTTTTCTCCGGGCTGGCTTTTTGGCTTTTCTTGCGGCTTTTTCTTGGTTTGTTCTTGGTGGCTTGCCCTCAGCCTACTACAACCCCACACCCCAAACCAATTTGTACCTAAACTCACCCTAAAGCAGCCCGGAAGCCAAACCTAAACCAAGCCTAAACCCACTCGTATACAACCCTTAAAGAAACCCGAAACCCAAGCTGCAAACCCTCAGCAAGCCCCCAACCAACCGAAACCAGCCCCAAGCTCACCTTGAAAAAGTAAACACATACAAAGCAACGCATAGCCACATGCCAAAACAGCTCCTAAACCAAGCCAACCCAGCGCTAAATTTAGCCTAAACGAAGCCTAAGCAAAGCCTATACCTACCAACCCCCTCGCTCTAAACCAGCACCAAAGCGTCCCGAACACCCTCCCAAACTTCTCTCAACTCCTTGAAAGGAGCCCAAACCTTATACCAACCGTAAACTCACCATCAAACAAACCAACACCACCTGAAGCCAACTTTAATTCCAGCCCAAGCCAACGCTTGATCAGCGCCCCGCCGGTGATGCTCAGGGTGTTACAACTGCTCAAATTTACAAACGATCTTGGCGATGTGGATGCTGCTGTACATGCGGTGCGATTGGGCGGGCGAACAACTTGGCAGTGTTTTGCCATCATTTGAGCCACTGGCTCAAAACCTGGGTAGCTGAGGGTGAGGGACAATCCCAACCAGAACTGGGGTGCCTTTGCCGCCTTCTTTCTTCTCTACATGGTTCTAGGTACCGACCAGTTTGGTAGCGACGGGTTTAAGGTTTTGATGGTGACCCAAATAATGGACACCTCGGGGGAAACGCAAAGACAGTTCCCGAAATTCTTGCCAGGGATCCTTCTTTCTAGAAAACCACCAAAAAACCAGGGGAAATGGCTGGTTTTTGATAAGAACGGGGAAATAAACACCTCCACTCCCAGATGGGTTGGGAGGCTAGGGTGGTTAGGCGGGAAATGGGCCAGGAAGCCAGAGCGGCCTTTGGCGCTGGATGTGATCGAGCCCTGGCACGGGCGGTTGGCGATGTCCGGCGCTTTGGGGTTTCGCGCGCGTTTTGGGGGTGGGAGAGGGTCCAGCAAGTTGGGTCGCCCGAGGAAATCCAAGTAAAGACCAGTCAGCAGATCTCTGAAGCACTTGCCTGCGCCTGCGCCATGCTCTATGCTGTTTTCACTTGCTGAAAGCTATGGGCTAAGAGAGCCCCACTAGACAGGCTTCGGGCTATTTCAGCTCTGGCTGTGCTTGTTTCCTGTGAATGCGACGGTGAGGGTACTTGGCAGGCCTGCAGCCAAACAGCCGCAAGAGTAGATCAGCAGCAGAGCAAGAAACAAACTGAACCGCTTGACGTTTCCAGGGTTTTCACCCTAGAAAGTGGGTCAGTCGAACAATGAAGGCTGGCTCGAAAAAGAGCTCCATGACATTTGGCTGGGTGCTCGAAGAATCGAGGAGGCGTGTGGCGACCGGCAGCTTTCCTTTTTGGTGGTGAGTCCTGACACATGCAACACGCCGCGCAGTTTTACTTTCATGCGGCGAACCCATGTAAACCACAAGTTTGTTTGTTTTTCCCCCTGGTGGTCCAATTTTTGACCTATACCCATGGAGGCTTGCCTTTGCTTGAGGACATCCAGATGGAGCAGCGGCCTCCCCCCGCCCAGCCCTCGAGCCCCCGGCCCCAGCGGCCCACCGCGGGCCAGCCGCCCAGCAGCCCCAGGGGCTGGAGCCAGGGCCAGCAGAGCCAGGCTGGCCAGGGCCAATGGCCAGGGTGGCAAGGACAGCAACGTGGTTGTTGTTGGGAAACATTTTACGTTTTTGTTTTTGTTGCTTTTTACATTGTACATGTTACCAGTGACTCACTTTTGAAGCAAACCATAAAACTTACATTATATAACAGGGCTCCTTAAAAGATCTCCATTTTGCAACCATTTGAAACATGTTGCTTTTTCAACACCAAAATAAAGGGAAACCACAATTTGCAAGGCAATGTTCAGGTGTATAATGTAAGGATCCCTTTCGTTGTTGGGAAACATTTTTCGTTTTTGTTCCCCAACAGCTGAAAGCTTTGGGGTCTCAGCCCAGTTAGCCGAGTGGTCCGCGGTGGCCCTGAGGTAAGGTTCCACGAGGGAGGTCTAGGGTTCCACCAGGTTCTGCAAGGGCTGCGGGTGGTTTGAGGTAAGGTTCCACGCGGGTTCCACCAGGGTTCCACCAGGGTTCTATCAGGGTTCCACCACGTTCTGCGAGGTAAGGTTCCATGAGGGTTGTAGCGCCACAAGGTTCTGCGAGGGCTGCGGGGTGGTCCGTGGCGCTGAGGCAAGGCTCCACAAGGTTCCACAGGGTCCCACAGAGTTGCACGGTTTCGTGGTTTGCCTGAAAAGCCATCGGAGGGCTCAGAAGATCACCTTGCCCATGGGCGGACTAAGCAAGACTGAAACCAAATGGTTTTCAGCACATTTTCACTGTTTTGACTTGCTCACTTGCTCAGACAACGCGACCCGAAATGTTGGCTTTGTGGCAAATCAGATCACGTTGCTGCGGGACTCACTGTGCAGCAGAGTAAATGGCATTACTGGGCATTGCTTGGTGGGCTTTGGTTTCAAAGGGTTCCACGAGGCTGCGAGAGGGCTATGGGGTGTGGTTCCGAAAACGCTCCACGAGGTTTCCACCAAGTTCTGCAAAAGCTATGGCGCAGCCCTGAGGAAAGGTTCCAACAAAGTTTCACGCTGAGTTTTACGAGGGTTCCACGCACGAGGACGGTTTGCGAGGTTCACGGGCCTGGTCGGGGCCCGATTGCGCTGTCAGGGCCCGACTGCACCGGTCCGTCCTGATTCCCGTGGCGCTCAGAGGGCATCTAAACTGGGAGTACTGCACCATGGGCGATGACCCATTATTTGGGCTGATCCATTCGGTGCTGGACATTGGCCCCCTGCGGGCTTTCCTCTCCGTCAAGTCACTCTGGCATGTTATACCTCGAGGTGTTTGACAAACACCGACCTGTATTCATACTCATGCCATGGATGCTGGCAAGAAGCTCAGTAAAACCTGCAGGGCTTCTGCAATAGACTGATTCCATGCACCATAGACCTCCGAACGTCAGCTATCGCAGGGTCTTGACTGGCGCTAGCTGGGCAAGGGCGCTCGACAAGCCCAGCGCATGGTCCGACTCAGTCGTGGCATCGCCTAGTTTTGCTCGATACAGTTGTAAGGCCGCATTTGGTGGGAGCCCGCTTGCACCACGGGACCATCGGGCCCCGACCGCCCGGTTGCACCGTCGGGCCCTGTTCGGGCCCCGATTCCACCGCCGGGCCCCGATCGGGCCTCGATTGGTGCTGGGGGATATCGCCTGAGCTTTTTTTGTTGCTTTTTACGTTGTACATGTTACCAGTGACTCACTTTTGAAGTGAACGATAAAATATACATTATATAACAGGGCCCCTTAAAAGATCTCCATTGTGCAACCATTTGAAACATGTTGCTTTTTCAACACCAAAATAAAGGGAAACCGCCATTTGCAAGGCAATGTGCAGGTGTAAAGTGTAAGGATCCCTGTCGTTGTTGGGAAACATTTTACGTTTTTGCTTATTGTGGTTTAGTGGTTGCAACCCACACTTAACTTCTAAAATTCAACATTTTGCTCCCCTTCCAACGTCAACCAAGGCAAGCGCAAGGACACCAAGGACAGCAAGGACAGCAGGGACAGTGGCGCGGAACCCCGAACCAATGGCAAGCCCGGCCGCCGCAAGCGCTGCCGCGGCAAGGCGGGGGATCTCTTGCTGCTTTGTCTCCCGCGCGCCGCGCGCAAGAAGAGCTCGCTATAGCGGAAGCGCGGGATTGTCGATCAGAAGGCCCCAGGATCCAGGGTGATCCAGAAGGGTGCCAACGTGAGCCAAAATGACTCAAAGGGTGCATCAACCTCACATGGGCAAAACCCTTTTTGGCCACGGCTATGGCTCCCATATAGATGGTCATTCCCGATTTCAAGCTTGACGCCTTTAGCGCATCCACCAGGTCCCCAATGACCTTTCCGCTGTGAATAGAATCAACCTGGAATCCAAATTGTCATGCCTCCCTCAATTCAGAAGCCATATTTGCATGGCCGAGTTGCAACCCTACGCATCAAGCCACCTGTCAGGGACCATGCCGGCCTTCGCCACTCGGAAGCATCCCCGTCCTTGTTGCAAGACAGCGCAATAGGCAGAGAGGCAGAGTTCAAGCAGTTGTTCTATCAACGTGTCCGGCCTACGAATCCTTGCTTGACATCTTTGCTTTGGGTTGATCAGTTCTTTGCCCACCTAGTGATCTTGCCATGCGGAGCAATATGTGTAGGAATCGGGCACTGCGCGGAGACGCTAAGAATGGCTGCCAACGCAGACCGATTGCAGTGTGTTTTTTCAGCCGGGATCTCGTCCTGCAATGGATGCTCAATCAAGCAGCCTGGTTGATCATTGCTTTGATCTTGCTGTTGCTCATATAGAGTTGAGACTTGGACCTGCGCATTACAAGGCTTCGCACACAAAAGAGGCACCTCGTTTTGCGACCCAAAGGCACCTCCAAACAAAGCCTTGTCATCTGGAAAGCTTGACCCTGCACAAGGCTGCTGGCGCCTAAACTGCAAGGTTTGGCCATGTTGTGCAGAAGTTTGGTGTTTGGTTTGCTCCTTTTCTTTGTGATACATCCCCAGCTCAGGCTGACCCAAGGCAGACGCAATGGCCGGCAGGCTGGATTGGCAGGATGTGCCGGGATTAGGTGGGCAGCGGCCGAAGAACTTTGGCTGATGGGGCAAAATGACCATGGGTGACTTTGCAATGAGAATGGTCGCCCCATGCAAAGGGCTTTTTGAACAACCTCCAGAAAACACAAGTAGGCTGAATCAGGTGCTCTGTCTCCCTCAGCTTACGCAGCAACCCTCCCACCAATGAGCAGCAAGAACCTGACCTTTTTTTCCCCAATTCACAGAAGGAACCTGACCTTCGTGGTTTTTTTTCTCCCCCTTTGTTGCGGAACACAGTCCCACCCCCGTCTTCGTCCGGGACCCCCCCGACCCGAACGTCAGGGTTCCGCCCCCGTCGCTTGCTCGCGGCTGTCGCCGGGCGTCCGTGCGACAGGCGCGGGGCAGCCGCAGCGGGGCACCGTGGCGGCGCCGTTTTCTCCGCCGCTGGGCTGGGCGGTAGGGAAGCGGCCATAGGTGGCCTTTTTAGGTTGGTTTCCAACTGTGCATGGATGGTTGCATGAAGTTTGTCACCGGGCTTATCCAGATGAACCGCTGCCTGTGCCGTATGAGCGCCTCAACGTCTTGAGGCGTTGGCGACAGATCGTACGCACGGGCTGCACACGATTAGTGATGTAGAACCGCCACATCCATGCATATGCGACCTGTTGGGACAAACGGTCTGATCCACTCATTGCTGACGTAGCCTGGTTGTGTTGCAGCTTTCTCTGTCGGGATGGAGATGCGAGCTACATGGTTTTTCTGCATAAAGAGGAAGGCTTTGGTATTCACCCCTTTCAGCCTGATCCCTTTGGCTTTTTCGATTGTGTGGAGCAGTGGATTCGTAATCGAGCCGTTCTTTCTCAGCTTGAAGAAGTCCGGCAAAGACTTTGGATGCATTTGCATAAAGTAGTGACCTTGGAGGTTTGCAGTTTGCAGTGGGTGCAGCGTGTGCAGAAACTTTTTTTTGCATAGAGCCGTCGTGCGTGATGGCTTGAATCATCCCCCCAGGCAGACAACAGTGCTGCGTGATGGCTTGCATATCCCTCAGAAGATGTCCGGCACAGCCTCCGGAGTCTAGTTTGGTGAAAAATAGATGGGTTCCACTGGTTTAGATGGGGTTTAGTTTATTTACCAGGGCCATCGTCTGAGTAGTTGTATTTTACCTCCACTTCTTATGGAGAGGGACATTGCTTGGGACTTGTTTTCTGCAAGTTGGACCCCAAATGAAAATGATGGGGTGTGCTGGTCATGGGGTCCCTCGCCTCGCCTTCTGGGAAGCTGGCGGCATGGGTTCGGCCGAGCCTTGCGTCGCATGGCCAGCTCCCTCCCGGGCCCAGTCAGAGGACCCATCTTGAAACAGGTGGGTGCGTCGCTTTCTTTTTTAAGGGAACCCGACGGAATGGTGGTTTTCCTTTCAGTTTCCTTGAGCCGCAAAGAAAAGGGAGGTGCCGCCCCAAATGGTAGTGTTCCTTTCAGAGTCCTGAAGCTCCCCCAAAAAAAGAGCTACTCCCTCCCCCCAAAAAAAGAAAAGCAAGAAGAAAGAAGGCGCCAGGTGATTTTGTGGACGTGCTCTTTTGTCGTCACCCTTTGGTCGGTTTTTGGGCAGGGCCATGTCGCAGGTGGAGCGAGCAAATGATTCGTTTGCAACTCCTGTGCTTTTTTGCGTGGGGTAGCAACTCCAGTGTGAGGGTGTGTGAGGGAGTGCAGGCACGAGATTGATGGATGGCAGCTGCTGCTTCTTTGGATGTGTGGCAGCCGACCCGTTCTGTGTTCATTACCCAAGCGCATAAGCACCTGCATAGCCCCCAGGCGGCTCTAGCTGTGCCAAGTTCGAGCCACATTTTGTCAGTAGGGCTTGGTGGAAGGGCGAGTCACTCCGGGAGCCGGCCGGAGGCATCGTGGGATGAGCCGACCGCAAGCCTACTTCTAGGCCGCAAGGGGTTCGACCGACTAGGCCGCAAGGGGTTCGACCGTGCATGTCGTCGCTGCATCGTTGGCAATGCGGAGCTGCCCAAATTGTTCTTGAGATCTCGTCGTTTTTTTCGGGCTAAGGGGTGACCCGGCAAAAGTTGCGGTTTCGGGAATAGTTCCCCCCAGTTCACGGGAACGCTTCGCTCAAATCTTGGTGACAGCGGCTGTTTTTTCAAATCCCAGGACTTGGAGGAGCGGATCTTGCGTGGGTGTGGTGCACTTCTTCGGACTGTGTTGGGCTTTCCGCAAAAAGGCGGCGGCCGCGAGATGGGCCTTCCTGTTTTTCATGGGCCGTTGAACCAAACACATAGTTTCGGTACCTATTTTCGACCCACAGCCAAGTGCTCATAAAGTGCAGGGACACCTCCCTCTTAATAGACTGCATAGGTGTCCTTTTTAGGTCGCAAATAGATGGGTTCCACTGGTTTAGGTGGGGTTTATTCCATTTACCAGGGAATCCCAGCTATTTTTCCAAAAGGCTACCTATTTAATAGACTGGGGTTGAAGATGGGCGACTTGTTGCTCGCCCGCAGGCGCTTGACAGCCTGAGCCGCGCTTGGCTTTTTGCGGCGCGCGGCCCGCGGCGCTTGGCGCGCTTTGCGCGTGCGAGCGCGCGGCAAAGCTCCGCCTGTGTCGTGCCAAACTGCGGAAACCTTTAGCAAGCCATGATCCGGAAAGGGCGCCGTTCATGCAAACCCCTGAGCCTACTAAGGCCTTGACGTTCCGTGCTTCTACATCGAAAATAGGCCACCAGGCTTTGGTCACCTGGCAAACTGTTCAGGATGGCAAACTGCACAGGGCACATCGATTAGATCAGATTAGATCGCAGCAAGTTCCAAGCTGCGAAGACGGAAAACGCTGGCTGATTTGACGCGCTGCTTGCGATGGGCAAAGCCCCAACCTCATGTCAACCCACCCGCCAGTAGCAAACCATGTCCAGTGGCCTCACGTGAGGTTACATCCGAGGGACGTGAGCCACACTAAATCTCGCTTGCCATTCTTTTCCAGGCCTGCTTTACGTGGGCAAATCCGTGTGGCGTTCCTTCCGTTTGCGCTGGGCAAACACAACAGGTAAAACTTGTGTCATCTCTGTCATTTAGTGTGTTGAATTTAGATGAAAAAAAACACAATTTTGTGTGTCGAGGTCCTGTCTGCAGCTCTGGCACTCGGCACGTGGAGCAGGCCGGCCCATGGCCGGGCCTCCGGCTGGCGCGGAGTTTTTTTTTAACGCTCTGTTAGCACTTGCCCGAGATGTGGCGTAGGGGTTCTGGCCTTGATTGCCGTTGGGCTACGGATCTTTAGACTTAAACTTTTGGAAAATCAACCCCCCACAACTCCAACAAGTTAATCTTTTTGCAGGGGGTCAACAGCAACCAAGTAGCTCGCTGCCTTCCCAGCCCGGGGTTCGTGGGTGAACTGCGCCGTTTTGGGTTCGCGGTTGTTGCTCTGTGTGGGCGTGCGCTCGGTTTTTGCCTTCTGCTCACAGAGGGGAGCACGCATGTGCACAACATGCAGACCTTGCGGAGGACATCTTCCCTTGGAGTCGCCCGCCTTTGGAGTTGGAGCTTCCATCGGCTTGGAACACTGCTCTTTCATAGGTGTCCTTTTTTGTTTAAAACATAGAAGGCCCTGAAAAAACCTGGTGGTTCAATCATCTACCAATCTGTTTTCCCAAAAGGACACCCATGTTTTTCTTTCTATATATGTGGGTTGCGTTCAATGGCTCAGGGCCTATGGCCAGAGGGATGTGCAGGGGGGCGGCGGATAGATGGCATAGCCAATGTCGATGAAGTTGGGCGGTCGGAGCGAGGCCTGGAACCACGGCGGTTGTCCAAAGCCGCTACTCCAGCGAAGAGGGGATCAAGCATAGGTGTCCTTTTTGTTTGATTTGCTTAAAAAATAGAAGGCGATTCCTGGTTTACTTGCTGGTTTTCTCTCATCTACCAGGGAAACCCATCTATTTTCCAAGAAGGACACCTATGGGATCAAGGCAACTCCTAAACTTCCTAAACTCCTAGATTTGGGGTTGGCTTTCCTTGGCAAATGGCGGGATATCTGGCAGGAGGTGCATGCACCCTTGGACTCGCCGCATTTGCTGGCCATCGAAGATGAAGATGAAGCCATCTTCAAGGTTACCGCAAAGAAGGTGGGTCAATTTCTGGGAGAGTGGGTGTGTGGAAGAAGATACCAGGGCTCCTCAACGAGATGCCCTTTGTCCATTTCGAACATCGGACTGGTTGGATGAATCGGGGTTACGCACTTATACGCGGCTGCTGGAAGTACTTTCACCGGTCTTTTTTGCACCAAGTGACTTGCTGCGCACTCCCCTGACGATACTCTGACAAGCCCACGGAAGCATAAACAGATTAAGCCAGCGGTTTCAAACACTTATCCTCGAACTTGCAGACAGCCCGAGGGATCATAGGGGGCTCGACCGGCTAGTCTTGGCCCCTCATAGAACCCCGGTGGATCAATGGGAAATCGACTCATTTCGCATTGGCTGGCGCCTCCCTTCAGGCGCTGCCAATTCTGCCCGGCGACCCCCCGACCGAGCGCGGCTCCACAACACGGGACGGGGTGGGGGGGTGCTCCGAGAGAGCCAGATTGCAGGCAAAAGTGGCGGGGCCCAGCTGCTCCGGCAGTCTGGACTTTGACATTCCGTGACGAGCACGCGTGGCTGAAAGCAGGCCGATTTGCTGTATTCCTGCGTGGGCATTGGACAAGGATGAGCCCTGCAACCTTTGCCCAAGGGCGTTAGCTTTCGCGAGGGCTGGGGTGGCTTGTGGCGCTAAATTGGGCCTGAGAGTCGGCGGTTTCTGAGGAGGTGTTGGTGGAGCCTGCAGGTTTGTTGCGAACCTGCCTAGCTAATGTGGGGAAAGGGCATGCCACCCTAGTTGTTTTGGCACAAGTTGCTGGGATCCTATGACACCATACGCGTATAGGCTTGCAGCCCATCTTGTCTCATCCTATCAGCTTTGCAAAGGGGAGGGGCTTCAAACCAGTTGCGTGGATGCGGGTCTCAGATGCTCCGATCTTCCTCGGAGAAGTGGCGAGTCGGGGTTTGATACAATTTCGTGCGACGTATCGTGTTTTTTCGTCGTTTCCCCCCTATGGTCATCCCATGTAAGGGACCCTCTGATCAACCCCCGAGTGCTTCGCGAGTCCTGGCAAATCTGCAGGACCTGCAGGCCATTATGGAGCCGAAATCCGTGACCCAGGAGCTGCGTGTCATCGGCATCGTCTCCAAAACCCCCGTGTCCACGGACGGGGGGGGGCGGGAGGGAAGTGCGGGCTTGTTGCCGGGGCTTGGCGAGTTAGGGCGCTTGGATCGATCGGCTCGCGGTGCTCCTTTCAACTTCAAGCAGGCAGAAAGATTGACATAAATTCCTGCGCGTCCATTTCGGCGGGCAAGAGGGGGACAGCGTTGGGCCAGTAGGATTCGTTTTTCTAGCTGATTCCATCGCGTGGTCAACAGGAGGGAAGGATTGAAGCTGCTGCACCTGACCACGTCTTGAACCCCCGTGGGTAGATTTTGCCTATCTTCTTTGCGCAGCTATGGGGCGAGTGGCAGAAGTATGGCTAAAACGGCCACTATATTCAACCACCAGGAATTGGACCGCAGGTTTCAGTCCTTGCTTCTACTTACCAGGGTTCCATTTTGGGTACCTATTCTTGACCCACAGGCACTTGTCGTAAAGCTTGGCAGGACGATTGCAGTGTCGAAGTCAAGCTCTCAGACGCCAAGCTGCAAAGCTCTCGCTGCCAATGTGCTTGAAATGCCGGCCATTTCCAGAAACCCTCAGATCGGCACGGAAAGGGGACACGGTGGACCCTACAATTGAAGCAGAGATTGCCGGATCGGGGTGCCACTTGTCAGGGCAGCAATGCTAGTTGTAGCAATGTTCGCGAGTCGTGCAATGCCCTTCGCTTTGTTTCTTGTTTTTGTTTGGCTTCCATGTCCTGGTTCTTCAATGTGGTACGTGTAATTTGTTGTTACTTTTGTTGTTTGCTAATTGTCGGTCGCGCTGTCGCCGTCGCCGTCGTTGTTTTGCAAGCCAGCTTTGCCTTCCACCCATTCACTGGTCTGAATGTCATGTCACCAGCCTGTGTCGGAGAAGAATGGGTGGATGTTGATTCATCGGAACTCAAGGCGACGTACCTAAGATTTTGAAAGGCATAAACTCATATGAGTCGCAATCACAACCTGGGTAGTTGGAGGGGAGAAAGGGATAATCCCAGCCACAAATGGGTGCGGATGTCCGCCTTATCAATTCCTGACCTCGTTCTGGGATTACGACCATTCTAGTACCGACCGGTTTTGAGTATGACTCATACTATAGTTTTCGTGGAAGATCTTGCCTTCCGTCGCATCTGCCCGAAAGTGGGTAAGGACGTGAGCCTCATCATCGTCGGTGATGGGCCCGAAGCAGTAGAGCTGCTTCGGAAGAGGCGGCGTGAAGGCGGCCTTGGGGGCTCGGGGCTTGAAGTGAAGTCATGCCTTGACCTGATCTGCGCAACGTGCTCAGTTTTCTTCCATTCGCTTAAGCTTTTTTCCCCTTTTGGATTTAAAGGGAACCTATCACTACGGGACATATCTTTATTTCTTTCCGGGGGGCTTAAGCAAATGGAGGTTTTTGTGTTTGGCCTAACTTTGGAGTCTTTGAGTCTCATTTTGCCGCAGCCAGTGGTCTTGGCCCTGGGCATCCCTTCAGCTTGGTGGCCTGGATGCTTCTGGGCTCATTTGTGGCTGTGTGCTTTGGAACTTTGGGCCGTGCTGGCGTAGTTGGCTGAGTTGGTGTGTTCCCAACTGTCGGCTACAGCATCGACCAGATCACCTTGAGCGGCACGGTTGTTCCATCAGGGCCGCGGATGAGACTATGCATGAAGGTTTCATCAACAAGCTCGGGGCGACGAGCCGCCCTCCGGGTCAGGATTTTGAGTCGCGATCGCAAAGGAGCCCACGCCGGCGCGGGGCGACATGTGGCCAAGGCCCTTGCCTTCATGGGAGCTTTCATTTTCTGGGTTCGCCGGTTTTTGGGCTTGCAAGTGTGGCCTGTTGACCCAGATTGACGGGGGATGCGCGGACGCACGTCTGCACAGCACGGTCTGCAGAGGCAGCTTGAAACATCGCTGCTGCTGTCCAGTCGGTGAGCTTGAAGCAGCTGCCAGCCGCCGCGGGGGCTGCGAGAAATGGAGGACATTTCACGGAGATCGGTGGGGAGGTAGGATCTCATCGCTGCAGACGTGCAGGTCCAGAACATGCAAAGGCGACATGCTCCGGCAGCTTCCCTGGTCGTAAAGCTTCTGACGGTCCATGAGTTCGGACAGGTTGGCGGTGAAGCGTGCAAGCCCCCCACGGCCCCCCCCCCCCCCGGCCCTCAATGGCCCGCAGAAGTCGGCGGCAGAAGTTGGCGGCAGACGGCCGCAAATGGCGCGTCGCCTCCGCAGGGACTTTGGGGATCCCAGGCCTCGGCGGCTCTCTGGGGAGGATGTTGCATTCAAGAGAAGGCGCGTGCGCGCAAGGCATGTGAAACGCAGGATTCCGCGGTTATTGTGCTATATAGCTCAGCTTGATCCGAAAAGCCTGGCCGAATTCTGCGGATGCGGCGTTTCCGCGTATGTGTGTGTGTGTGTGTGGTGAATTTGCGGGGTTTGGAGCTCGCGCGCTCGCGCGAGCGCATTCGCGCCTCGCACGGCCGACATGTACACGTGCTTGCCCGACTGCTCGCGTGTTGTTTTAATCCCGCTGCCAACGCTTCTTGGACTTGGCTAAATACAAAGGCCCTTCCTTGTATAAAAGCAACGTCCATCCATTGCATCAACGAGTTCGTTTGCTCCCGCTGCAGTTTCCGCAACTCGCCGCTTGTGCGGGGACTCCCCCGGCAAATGTCGGGTCAAGCTTGGTGTGCTCCGTGCTATTGCCGCAAAGCGCAGGTGGCCGCGCTTGCCTGCTCTGGACGCATCGCCCGCCGGGCAAGGCTGACGTGAGGAGGGCTGGCAACAAGGACCTGGATGCCGCCAAGCTGGAGGTGAGCACGCCGCGCGGCCGCATCCCTGGCTGGGCTACGGGGCTGTGGGTCAGAACCAATGGGATCCCATTTCGGGGTCGGGCACCACCAAATGTTGGCTAATTTAGTGGGGATTGGGATGTTCACTGGGGGTAGATTTTGACCCATGGCCAAGGGTTGGCACTAGGCGCTCTGTGGCAGCTTCGCAGCTTTGGTTTTGGCGACATTCCGGTTCCAACTTTTGCGGGAAGAGTAGATGCCCGCATCAGCACCCGTTGCCTTTAGACCGGATGCCTGCACGGTTCGATGCGTGCTCCATGCTGAGCTTCAGCCTTGATCCTTGGCCAGGTTGGAAGGCTTGCAGAAAGCAACCTTTCTGCTCAGGAATGGGTTGCCAAGGTGAAAAGCTCGGCCGTATTGCCCAGCCAAGGTTTGTGTGGAAGCCTCCATCTTTGGAGTCGAGTCATCCTGAGGTGGTGCGCATGCAGAAGGACGGCCGGACTTGTTTTGCCAGCTCAATGATGCTTCGTTCTGGTTGTTGCCACTTATTCACATACTTAGGGGGTGCCGGGCAGCTGCCAAAAGATGCTCATCAAGGATGAGCTGGAACTCCGTATGGGTCAAAAACTACCGTGCAGGTGGAAAGCCGAACCCGGTTTTTGGAACCGAGAATGGGTTTGCATTGGCAGAGCCACGTCAAACAAACAATCTCCAGAACAAGTTCTCAGACTGCTATGTGTGGTTGGATTGGCGTTCTTTTCGGTGTTCTTCTGCCTCCCCCCTACCCGCCCCACTGAGAGTGTATTGGCGGGCTGCGTTTGGTTGCTGTTGTGTTTGACCGCTGATTGCCGTTCGGCTGCCAGTGCCGCAGATGCAATGCGGCGTGTGTAGTTGGATTTGGGCTCCTTGGTGCTTATGACGGTGGCCGTGTGCCCAACCTTCCTGCTTTGCTTGTGTTTGACGCGCTGCTCGATCGTTGTTTGTTTGACATGGTGTTTTGTAGCATTTCAACAACATTCTTGAATGACATTCCTGACGATGGAGGGGTCAACAAGCAAACCGTTTGGGAGGGGGGCGGGGTTGTTTTGTATCATTGAACTGTGTGACTGGTTGAGCACTTTAAAGAGGCGCATGCTTTCGAGCTTTGAGTGTAAAGTTCTCAGGTCAGGGCAGTTGCAATGCTATCGAGCTTCTCGTGCGGAATTTCATTGTGGCAAGTGCATGTTGGAATCTTGGAATACGGACCATGGAACGCGTCGGGGGCTTGCCTGTTAATTAGCAGTCGTGAAGCATCATGCCTCTCAACACTCTGAGCGCAGCATCAAAACACTTGAGGTGAAATCCAGGTTTGTGATGTTTGCTTGTTGCCAAGTCGCCTCCCGCTGATTTTCCATGTCACGTTACTAATTGGTGGTTTGGATTGGTGGTTTGGTGGTTAAGGGGTAGTTTCTCATGCACCCTCAGGTTCAAATCCAATTCCGAACCACCAATAGGGGTTACCTGGTTTTGTATGGGTTTGGGCTTCCCAGGAGAATCGCTGCTGGACCAGTTGCGTGCAGCGCTCGGGTCCGGATATCGTGGAGCTCAAGCCCACGGAGTGTTACAACCTCACCAGGGATTCCGCGGATCGCGAGAACGGCGTGGAAGTCTGGGACCGGTTTTCACGGGCAAACTTTGGTGCTGGGAAGCCCTGATATGGACTCTTCATCTGCAGCAGGCTTCGACAAACTATGTCAGCCACATGGGGATGCCTTGGCTGAGCTTTTTGATGTGCCTGGTGTTTCGGTTGCTTGGCGCTCACTTGCCCACGCATGTGCGAGGTGCACATGGATCCTGCATGATCATAGTTCACCCAGTGCCCGCTCAAGCCTTTGGATTTTCATGATCGATTGCGCGGGAAAAACAAATCACACACACAAACACATTTGTTTCCCGGCTGATTTCTGACACCAGTTTGGAGTAAGTTTGACTTCGGTGGTGAAATTTATGCAATAGGGTGCAAGGAGTCGGCTTAGTAAACGGCCATTGGTGTGGATAGCATCCGGTTCTTGGTGAATCCCAGAGGATCGATATCGACTTTTGCGAATTCTTGTGGCGCCCATCTTCATATTGCCACCGCAAGCCCACGTCCCAGCCAACTCAACTGAACCAAAGCCACTGCTCCATGGCTTTGCACCTTCCGGGAATACGGCAGGACACACCCTTTGGGGCAACTCAGGGAGGAAAAAAAAGCAGAAAGCCACAGGCACCCCGCGTGTTGGTCGGCTGTTACCCATGGTGCGGGTTGAGAGTGACGTGCCACCGCCGCGTGTTCGTTTTTTTTCTTTCTCTTTTTTCCTCCTTCTTTTTGTTCGTTTTTTTGGTTTGTTTTTTCCTTTTTGTTTCCTTTCTTTTTTTTGTGTGTGTGTGTGTGTTTTTTCCTTTTTTCCGGCGGGCAGGACGTGGAGAGGATGGAGCAGGTCTGGGCCCTGACGGGCGCGGTGGTGCTGTGCGGCCCAGAGCTCCAGGGGCTCAGCCAGGCGCTTTTGGCGCACGGCGGCTCCATGGTTTGCTCAGTTGTTCAAAGACGACCTTTTGACCTTTTGGTTTTCCAATTTTGGTCTACTTTCAGTAGAGGTCCCAAAAGGTTAACCTGTTATTTCCAGGTCCTTTGGGCCAGTGAGTTTGGGGTGGTGGTGTTGAGGGAAGGCCATAGGTGTTGGTGTTTGGTCGTTTTGGCCGGACAATAAGTGTTCTTTTGGCTTTTTAGGTATCTTTTTTGGAAGGTGTGGGAGTCATAGGTGTCCTTTTTGATCGGTTTGCTTAAAAAATAGAACGGTTTCGATTCCTGAAAAAAAACACCGGTGGTTCAATCATCTACCAGGGAAACCCATCTATTATCCACTTTTTTGGTGCAGGGGAGGAAAGGGGCAGAGCCACTTTTCCAGCTTCAGGCATGTGGAGTTGCAGAGCAACTTTTCCAGCTTCAACAGGCGTTTGGAGTTGAACATCTCGAGGATTTTTGACATCGACGATGAGAGATCGAAGTCGGTCGTTATGCCAGTGAAACGTGGAGGTAAAGACTTGGCAAACGCGGAGAGGGGCGTCTTACGGCCGCAGGTGCATTGTGAGTCCATGAGCAGGGTCAATTCCCTGGATGTCTCGGTGCACTTTGAGGCGGGGATGGGGCTGAGGCTTGACTCACCGTGAGTCAAGCCGCAGCATGCGTTTGGCGTGGGCCTATTGGCATAGCTTCTTTACTGGTGGCTTTCCATATGGCACCGCGGGGAGTGCTGCCGGGGTTGGTCAACCTTAAATCAAATCAGATCCGAGGCGAGCCGAAACTCCAGCAGCGAAGGCTAAATGGCCATGGATCTAAACCCCGTAGCCCCAGTGAACATCCCAATCCCCAGTAAATAGGGTGTCTAAAATGGGTGGTGAATTCACCCAATCCAGCCAAACTGGGATCCCGTTTGACCACCGCCAAGTCGCTCCCCGCGCGCTGGGAGCACCTCGCAGGACGCGAAGCCTTTGGCCACCACCGTGACCTGGAAAGTGGCGCTGGGCATCGTGTACAGCCCCTGGGCACGCCGAGTCACTCCAAGTGGACGCCGGGAAAGACCCGCAGCCGGGAAAGACCCCCGGCACGGGCGGCTTCCGCACATCGGTGTCCTTTTTGGTAATTTTGGTTTACCGGGTGGTTGAATCATCTACCAGGGTCATCTATTTTCCAGAAAGGACACGTGTGCAGAAGCACGTGTTCCCCCCCCGGTTTTGGCCTGTTTGCCGTGGGACTGTTGCTTTTGGGTGGCTGGGGGTAGAAGAGTTCTGGGGACACTACATGTTCTTGTGGTGGGGTCATGCGCACTTTGAAGCTTGGCCGGTCGCTGGAACATGGGTTTCTTGCTGGTGCAGGCCAAACAGCTTCCAGGCCCAGCCCACGCCAGGTTTCCTACACATGCTCCTGTATTGCTGGGTTATGGGCACCTACGAGCCCTCTGCCAGCCAGGACTTTGGGCTCTTTGCTTGTTTCGGCCATGGCCTGGGCGACAAAAAATCTGGCCTCGGCGCTTTTGGCGCGCGCGACCCCTGGAGGATCTGCGGCGCCCCTTTTTAGCGCTTTTGGCGCACTTGTGGCGCATGCGTGGGATTTGCCAGCAGAGGGGTGAGATTTTTGGAGGAGACGCTGCCCATTTGGCGGCTCAGCTTCTCCTTGGGCGTGCTGCCCTTCGGAGCCTTCATGTACCCCATCTACTGGGGCACGACGCTTTCAGGAGAGCCGTCAGATACGGGGGCTGGTTTACCCAGGCTGTCCCATCAGGTTGAACGGGGGGCTGCTTTATCCAGGTGATCCAAAATTGGACGAGTTGGCTGAAAGGATTCTAAGGCGCCATGCTCACCACGGGCCAACGCTGTCAGGAGAACGCTTCTCGTGCTTCGGTCAGATGGTCGCCGGGGTCATTGCAGTCGCGCTCTTCAGCATTTTTGCGTTGCACCCTTCATTGGTCACTGCACATGATGATGCTTCGTTGTGCCTTGGCTTTGCACCCTGGAGGTGTCTCTTGCGTGTCGCGTGTGGCGTTTGCGGGTTCTTGTTTGGCCCCATGCCAAACACGGAGCCTCTGACCAGTTCTGCTAGTGCCGCCCTGATGTTGCGGCGGGAGCCGAGGCGCACTCGCCCGGTCTTTGTGATCTGCTGTGAAGGACGGGGGGGGGGGCAGGGGGGGCCAGGGGGAGGCCTTTCTGACGCACCGCTGGCTGCATTGGCTCGCGAGGCTCCTTTGTGTATGTCGTTCTTGCGAGGAAGCGGTAGGAAGCATGACTCCACCCAACGCCAAGCACCAAATGCGACCGTCATGCTTGCAGAGAATCGTGAAACGCTGCCCGTTTCAAGCGGCACTTGGTGGTGAATGTGTCCACGAGCCTCGCCCCCTCGCCATTTACACGCCATTGGAGGGGGGGAAGGTGCCATCTTCTACATCCTTGTGGCCTTTCTCCAGCAGAGGCAGGATTGGGCGACCCATCTCTCAGAACATGTTCCAGCTGCCAATTCGTTTGACAAAGGTCTCCATGTGGCGCTTGATGCTGCGTTCGTAGCCCGCGGCGCTGCATGACAGAGCTCGAGCTCTCTTGAAAATGCTGTCCACCTTCACATTCCCCCCCCCCCCCCGGCGCGAAAACGCTTTTGGCCAGGCGGCCTTGCATGTCAGGTGCACGTCGTCTGGGAAGATCAGCGACCACCCGGACGGCACCAAGCCAGAGAAAATGGAGTGGGTCCACCACGCCTTCTGGTTCGGGGCTCACGTCCTGCGCCTGGGTTCAACTGTCAGTCACCAAAAAGCCCTGCACCAAGTCTTGGGCCTAGCCTGGGTTCATTCTTGGTCAGCCTGGGTATCGCTGCGCCACAGGGGAACAGTCGGGCAATGTGCGTGGTGCAGACGCTGCTTTGGCGCCTGTTTCCGAGTCAGAGTGGATGGCATGTGCGTGCCAGGGTATGCGCGTGGAATGCTCCCAGTGGCAGGGTTTCAGTCCGTTTTCCTGTGGTGAAGTCGTTGGTTCTAGGCCCCAGGCCTTCCGTTCTAGGCCCTAAGGCCCAGGCCCACCAGATGTGTTTTTCAGGGGGCGAGCTGAGGACCACCTTCGGCAGCTGGATGTGGCTGTACTGCGTCTCCCTGCTTTTCGTCTACCTGGAGAATCACTGGCCCGTGCTTGCGGCCTGCTTCCTCACGTTTACCACGAGCTTGACGGAGAAGGCGAGCTTGGCATTGCAGGGCTTTGTCTCCTTGCCATGCCTGAGGGCAAAGAATCCTGTGAATCCAGGGAGGAGGGAGGAGGGGGGGGTTCAGGGTAGGCTGAAGGCAACCAATCCTGTGAATCCAGGGGGGGGGGTATCAGGGGTAGGGAAGTTCCATTTTCGTTTGTGGGGCCTAAGGAACTGTATGAGCTTGCCCTTGGAAGAAAATCTTGAGGCGTATAAGTTCCTCCAGGGTTTCTGCAGTTCCCAACAGCTGGCCTCGAACGTTGCGCGTTGCTTGAGGTTTGGGTGCGCGGCCAATGGCTGGATGTCCACATGCCACACATTGCCCAGCCGCATGCCATCAGCTGGTTCTTCAGACTTTCTGTTTCGACGTGCCTGGTTTGTCTGGGGACGTTTTCCAGCGCAGGCAGGGATGACCCTGACCAGTGATGAATGAATCTTCGAACGAGGGATTTTGCAACATCTCGGAGCAACATGAGCTCTGAAGGAGGCTCTTTGAACAGAATTCCCCCTAGATGCCTTGAACAACCTGAGCAAAGTTGCTGGGCCATCGCGAGAACAAGCTTCCGTTCCGCAGCTGGACCGGGTCGACACACCCACAGTCAGAGGTTCGCTTTGGCTTTTTTCATTGGCGCTGGGCCGCAGCATGGATCCGACGCACTCGAAGTCTGGATTTGCTTTCGATGTTCAATATGTCCACCTCCTTGCGAGAAGCCAATGCAGCAGAAGGCTTGTACAGTCCGCAAAAGTCTTGTATGTTCAAAGTCTTCACGCCACTGCGAGAGCTCTCCGAAACAGCCAAAGCCTGCAGAGGGTTCGTTTTTAGTCTTTAAGCTCAGATGGCTCAAGGTTCGCCCCACGAAACAGGGAGACTGACCCAACACCGCTGATGTCAGCAGAGGATGAAACCTGGACAGACAAAGTCTGCAGAGGAGTTGAGTTTGAGACCAAGTTTGCGTTGGCGCAAGAGCGACCCGCAGAGTGTTCACTTCGATGCTGGGAAAACTCGTTACGCACCACAAGAGCGACTCGACACCTGCAAAGTCCGAAGAGGGTTCGCTTTAGATGTGCGGCCACAAAAGTGATCTGGCATTGCTCTTGGACGTGCAGAGCAGCAGTCAGAAAACGACTTCGATAATTTTGAAGACAATTCTCGAGTATTCTCATGTGTTCGCAGTCGAAACCCTGTACTTGCGTCCCTGTCGTCCTCAATTGACCCGGGCCCATTTTCCTCGCACCAAGCTCTGATTTGTGGAACATTCGTTGGGAATATGGGTATGTGCCTTTTTGGGGGGACCCCCCATGGAGATTTTCCTTTGGTTCCCTTTAGTTGACCCCAAGGGTGCCATCAAAAACGAGTTGACAGAGCAGGTCCAAGGTTCAGGGTTCAAGGAGCGATGCGGTCCACAGTCGTTTAGACCCGTCTTTTTCTGCGAAAGGTGGTCAGCAAGTTGCTGGGCGTAACCTACACGCGCATGATCTACCACACGCGATGTCGCCCTGACAAGGGCTACATCAGGGGGGACCAGCAGAGGCCGGGCCGTCTAAAAACGGTTGGCCTAAACCGAGGGCTGCCCCTCTTGCGTTTCCCGGACGGAACTTGGAATTTCGGCTGTGGGTCAAAACCAGGGATTGGGATGTTCACTGGGGGTACGGGATTTTGCGCCATGGCCTTTCGGTGCGCATGCAATGCCCTTCCATCCCCGCTTTTGGTCGCTCCTTTTCCGGCGGCTTTTCTCACGAGCACCTGATGGGAAGAGTTATGGGCATGCCTCGTCGAATGTACTTTATGTAGCGCGATTGAAACCCGCCCCCGTTGCAATGCCCACCAAAAGCGGCTCACCTTTGGCCGCAGGACACATGGCGATTCAGGTCGTCCAACATCCGCTCGGATTGATCCGAGAGTCCCCTAAACATGGTTCATTTCCCAAAAAGGGGGACTTTTACCAATAGCATCGCATCGTATAGAATCATGAAAGAATGTCGAGCTGTGAGCGGAGAAGGGCAGAAATGGAGAGTCCCAGCACCCCACCAAAAGATGCATTTGGGACATGTGGACCATGCTAGATACACCGCTTTCTCCGCGGAATCATCCTTCTTCCTGGACGCGGTGGTTTGCGACCCTCCCAATACTACTTGAAGACTTGGAGGGAATAAATAGATTTCGCGGGGAAAGCAACGTGTCTAGAGGTTCAACGTGAAGCTGCGATTGTAAAGTAAGCTTTCTCATTGACAGCGCCGAGGTAGAGCGAGTAATCTGACAACCTTCTCAAACTTGTTTGCTGGCCTCGCGACGTTCTCCGCTTTTCTACCTTTTTGATTCTTCGGTCAAACATAGAGGCTCTCGAAGTGTGTGCGGTTGTCCACCGGGTTCGCCAAGATGGGAACTGCCGCCTCGTCAAAACTTTGACCGGAAAAATGGGCCCGAACAGATAAGACATGTTCGAGAGATCGCACAGGGAGCGGTTCGCAACTTTCAGTTTAAGGCTCTTCCGGCGATATGTACAGTACAGCCCCCAGAGGGAAGACGCCCGTTTTACTTCGCCCCCCCGTATTCCCTTGGTCCATGGACCGACCCCCCCCTCCCAGGCCCCAACCAAAACCCTTCCCCCCCCCCGTATTCCGTGGTCCATGGACCGAACCCCCCCCGGCCTCCTCGGCCTCCTCCAGCCAGTCCCAGGTTCTTGGTGATCCCGGTGGCCATGACCCACGCCTTCTGCGAGTCAGTGCGTCTGGTGAGCCTCATCTCGGTGGTGGCGCGGAACCCCAGCTGGACGTGGCTGCCCAACGTGCTCTTCAACGTCTTCGTGAACTTCCTCGCCGCCCGTTGCTTTTTTTCTTCTTCCCCCTTTTCTGATTTTGAAAATAAATGCAACACATTTATATTTATACATATTTTGGAAGAAGAGCGGCACTATGGGTTTGTGTCAAAATCGAGGGGGGCCCCTGAAATGCAGGTTTTTTTTCTTTTCTTCTGGCTTCCCTTTAGACCAACCTTTAAAATGCAAGTGTACCCGACAAAACACCTAGCCATCCAGCCACAGCCGCCCAGCACCCGCCCGCCCGCCCACCCGCCCACCCACCCACCCAGTTAAGGGGTAGCGTTCATCGATGCGTCCAACTTGCGCACATCCAGACTAAAAAGACGCCCTTTGCAAGGACAACGCGCCACGCTGGACCATCAAAGCGAGCCCTTCGGAAGATGTCAACTCAAAGGGCACGAACCTAATCACGCCGACATACAGAGCAACTAACTGAAAGCAAGCCTGCAGTATGCCCATGAGCTCCATACCCATGAGTGGACTAGTCAAGATGGCCCCCAACCTCACCAGGTATCCAGAATGACGTGCCAGCTAGACTTTACCTAAGACGATGTGTCAGAAATGGCGAAGGTAAGCGCTTGACCCATCCCTGCCGAACAGCGAAAACCAAGACCCAAAGTTGCTCTGGCAATACTAGCTCCAAGCCCTCCATTTGCCCTTTGTAAGCCAGCGACCTTCTGAGCCATGAAAAATTGCATGGGGCTCGCCACTTGACCGACCCTTCCCGCAGAGATTGAGTACAATATTCGGAAGATTTGGTGTAGATAAATTCGAAGGCGGTTAGGTAGTGGACATCCCTGAGCAGCTGACAGCTGTCTGAGGAAAGGAGCAACCTCATGCTCTCCTTGGCGACCATCACGCTTCCCTGGTGTGACTTCATGGTCCCAGGCATGAGCATGATTGCGCCTCGGCATGTGATCAGACTCGTTAAAGCCCTCCTGGCCGCCCAATATCTTCAACCGATTTGATCACGAGATCCCAACGCTGCTTTGCAAGGGTAACGCAGCAAACATCTGAAGGTCTGATGCTGGGCACGCCGAAAGCAGGGGCGCTTAGGGGTGGCTCGCCTGTGGCCGAAATTGGCAAGGCACAGATATTTCTTGCAAAGAGAGAAGCACGCCTGCGGCTAGCGCCCAAGAATTTCTGGGTAGAGGGGTCTGGGCTGTGCTGCATGGGTTGCAGGTGCTGCACGATGTGAAGCTGCACAGCGGCTATGCGCAGTACGCGGCGGTGGTGGCAATCATCCTTGCGAACTTGTTGCTGCACGGCACGGAGAAGCAGCTTGGATGATCCTATTCGCTTCTCACGGGCTGTTCTTTGAAAAAGGCGGAGGGCTTTCCGGCCATACGCATCCTTCCATCCTTCCATCCATTCCATCCCTCCATGCATCCATCCGCTGCTCGGAAACGCAGCGGGAGCGTAGCGGCCATTTTTCAAGCGGCCGACGGGCGGATCCTCTTCTCGGGGACTGGGGGGGGGTTTGCGTCAGGATTTTGGCGCCCCAGGCCAAGGGTTGGACACGCCTTCCCCTCACTAGAACCAAGAAGTTGGGACAACTGGGTTTCTACAACCACTTGTGTCGGATTCCGTCTTTTTCTTTGTAAGCAAAACAAAGCCCATTGTTTAAACATAAGGACGTGCCCTCAGATGTGCGACTTTCTCCTGTGCGGAAGCTTGCGACGCCGAAGCTGGGGGGTTTATATCGCGTCCAAGAAGTTGGAATGGTCCGAGTCTTTCTTTTTGGTTCTCGGGAAGGTCCATCGATGTCTCGATGTCTCGGGTTTCCGGTTTCCCCATGGCAGGCCCGTCCTCTTCAACAAGGAGTGCCTGGTGCTTTTGGCCACTCAGCTGAGACCGCCGAGTCGGGCGCGCTGAACCGAGTGCTTCGGTTCCTTAGGTTTTTGGGGTGGTTTTGAGTTGGTTTAGTGGTTTAGGGGTCTAACTTTTAATGGTTTAGTGGTTGGTTTAGTGGTTGGTTTAGTGGTGGTTGTAGTTGGTTTTACTTTTAGTGTTTTGTAGTTAGACTTTTTAGTAGGGGATCTGACAGCCCAGCGATTGGTGGGAGGGTAACTCTCAGTTGGTCGATTGGTGGCTTGGGATTTGAACCAAAGCACCAATCAGAGGGCAGCTGATTTTCTGCGGTAAGGGCGGGCGTTTGCAGCTCCTGCCCGAAGGGAAGAGATTGCGGTTGCGGATTTCGGTGAGGCTCACTTTTTCCGGGGGCGAATGAACTGGCTTTGCTACACGAGACCGCGCCACGCACATGGACACACCCAAGCGCATGTTAGTTCTCTGTTTGGACTCAAACGAGGCTTTCGGGCAGTTGATGGAGGAGCTTTATTTGTTTCAAGCGCGCGTTGAAATGAAACAGCATGCCGGCGAGAAGCCGAGAAGCTGGTGCCAGCACTGCGTGGGTCCACCAAACATTCGTCGGCATTGGCCAGCTGCAGCTCCTAGCACAGCAAGCTAAAGCGAGCGGTGTGAGCAGTCATCGCGCTGTTGGCAACGAAGCTGCGGACAACAGCAAATTTGAAATCAGCGGATTTCCTTTCAACAGTGCCCCTCCTCCATCCCCCCGTTTCGCCAGCTGTTCGCTGATGTCGCTGATCGTTCTTCGCTTCTTCTCTCTACTCTTTTCCGCTCCTCTGTCCCATCGTTGGTGGATTTTTCTAGAAGCCAAGACAAGCCCTTGATGCCTTATGGGTGTGGCTCAAAATTTAAGAACCGGGGTTACGGAGGTTTTAGTCTTTGGTTCCATGTACCAAGGTGCCGTTTTGGTACCTTTTTTTGAGCCACAGACTTATGAAGGGGTTAAGTGAGTTACACCCCTCCCCAGTTCGCCGTCCATGAATCCTTTTGGGCCTCTTGCCAAAGCGTTCGGCGACTTGGGACAAGTCGGCAGGGCGCCTGCGTTGTGCTCGAGATCTGCGAGGACAGGGTGCACCGTGATTTAGCATGGTCCATCCTATACGCCCATTTCCTGACAGGAGCTTCTTTTTTTTTTGCCTTTTCCGACCTGTTGGTTTTAAAGGGGACCTATGCTACTGGACATGCTTTCTCATATTTTTCTCCGGGGGACGCAAAAGCAAAAGGAGGTGTGGGGAAATCACACAAAGTATTCAAGGGAGGAATGCCCGCGCTGACACTATGTGCCTGGTTTGATTCACCCCGCTAGGACGGGGCTAACCAGTGCCTTCTCCTTTGCCCCGAACTCCACCTGGATGTTTATCTGGTTGCACGTTTTCCCGTTTTCCTTCTTGTCCCACCGCATGGGTTACAGCCGCAGATAATCTACCACTCAGGTCTCGTGCTATTTCGACTGCATTGCTTTGGGGGGCTGCCCACTCAGCCCCCACAGGTCGGAACATGTGCTTCTCCCTCCAAACCCACGGGGGGGTCCGACTTCGTTTTTCCCCAGCTGAAAGCTTTGGGGTCGATGAGCCCAGATAGGCTCCGGGGTGGTCCGGGACGTCCCTGAGGTAAGGTTCCACGAGGGTTCCACCAGGGTTCCACCAGGGGTTCCACGAGGTTCTGCGAGGGCTGCGGGGTGGCGCGAGCATCAAAAAGAGCACGGCATGCTGTTGGGGATATCTCCTGAGCTTGTTCTTTTTTCCCCCCTGTTTCCAGTTCACACAATTCGCGGCAGGATATTTTGGTCCTGCGGCTCCCTTCCAGCCTCCGCTGGCGCAAGCAGCTGCTGCCCTTCTATGAGAGCCAGCCCTTGCTCCACCCCAGGCGGTTTTGGTGTCGAAATGTACGCGGCGTGTTCCTAAAAGGTGGATGCCGACAGCTCAAACTGCAACCAATGAGCATCTCAAATCAAGCGGTATGAAGCTTGCTAAAGTTTGCCAGGCTCATGTTCGCGGCTGGTCAGAAACAGACGGGCGCCCGAGTTGGCTGCGCTGGTGCGGGCTGTTCGGGTGTCCGTTGGCCGGATCAGCGGCTTGGTCATGCTCAATTTTTTGCTAGAGGCGAGGGATAATTGCCTTCGTCTTCTTTTGTTGGATGCAACTTGGTTGTGAGTTGACACATGTCACGATCTCGTGTTCTGCCATACCAACCCCGGGTTTCTATGACTTCGCAGAAACAGAGACCATGGGTAACTTTTCCCATTCAGTGGTGAAGGCCGTCCTTTATTTTGCCAGTTTCCCGACTGGCCATCCGACCTTTTTGTTTGGAAAGGGGGGGCCTGTGCAGCCCTATGTTCCTTGCATAGGTTAGTTTGACTAGACATGGATGGCGCTGATTTAGATCTGTTTCATTCCATTTACCTGGGCCATCCGTTTTGCCACAAGGTCACCTATGGTTCCTTCGGGAATGCAACGCAAAGCTTTGTGGTTTTTGCCAGGCAGCTACTGCTCATGGACAGCCAGGGCACGCACTGTGACCGGGTGCCCTTGCCCCTTCACGGCACACGCGGCCTGGCCAAAGAACACGTAACGAGGCTGGAGGTTGCGGAGGGCCAGCTTTTTTTTTTTTTTAAAGAAAAAAAGAAAAGAACAACAACAAAGAAACATCCAGTTTTGTGGCGCAGGCATCGAGCCGATCCGATATGGGTTTTGCCGCTTTCTTGTCCACGCCTTTGTTTTTTGTTGGGTTTTTTGCTTCCCATGTTTTTGCTTTGCATTGAGTTGCACTGCTTTGTTTTTTGTTGTTGCTTATTTGCTTGTCACTTGTTTGTCCGTTGGGCTTTGCTTTGGGCTCGGTTTGGGGTGGTTTCAGGCCGAGGAGAACCGCTGGAAGTTTGGTTGGTCCTGCCCTGTTCTGGTTCCAAGCAAGCAGTAATTCGCGAACGCGATTCGCGAGCGCGATTCGCAAGCTCTCACGAAAAGGCTTCGGCGTCCCGCTCGATATCTTGGACATTGGTGAACACAAGCGGGTGGCTTTTCTCCTGCAATCGTTTTTTGTTTTCCTTTGGATTTCTTTCCACTCGGGTCACTCCCGACACCCTACCAAAACACGGAGCTGTTGGTTCCTCAAGTTCTGGGTTCGTCGATGTTTTTTTGACGCCTAGCACTGCACCCGATTCAAATACTTTGGCCTCTTGTGCTTCTGCCAATCTTTGCATCTTTCAGCTCCTTTTTTTGACCAAAGGACCTGAGGTTAGGACTTGGGGGTTGATTCCCCATTCATTTCAACCATCGTTCTTTCAAAAACCGGATCCGTTTCCATCCTGGGTTCTGGCTGGTTTCCTGAAAGAAAAACGGATCCCTGGGTTCAGAATGGAAATGGAAAGGGACGGTAGCCGATTGGTGCGAGGCGCTCTGGACCTGAGCGAGCACCTGATGCTGCTGCAGCCGCCGGTGTACTTCTCCCTGGTGCTGATGACGCTGCTGTTGGGCGCCGGCTTCGTGCACGGGGTCTGCGAGGCGCCCATCCCCAGGGAGCTGCGGATCATCGACTCCCTCCTCTGGGAGTCTCCATTGAAGTGCGCGTGACGTCCGAGCAAGGCATGGTGAGGTGGGTTTCCGGACGAAAACCAGGGCCCACTTGACTGCCACTTGAGCCGGACCAATCTGTTCAAGTTCCGAGTTTTTGCATGCCGGAAATCCACCGAATGACCTTGCCCAAAGGATGGCTCCGAGCCAGATGGTGCAAGGCCCCGAGCTTCCTAAGCAGGTGTGAAAGTGGTCGAATTGTAGCCATTGTGGCCGAGCAAGACGGCTTCATGGAGAAATGTGACCCCCTTTTCTGGATACCTCATTCACGCGCACGCACGCACAAGCCCGCTCGGGGCTTGCATTGTGGAGGCCGGGGAGGGTGCTCTAGTCATTTGAGCAGGCACCGAGGAACGCCTCGTTTCTTAGGCCCTCACCCGGCTCTTTTCCGACGTCATGGACGGCGGAATCCGGAAGGGCCGAAGGCCAACATTTTTTTTGGCCCGCGCCAATGGCGCCAAGGGCCCCATGGAGCCATAGGCCTTTTTTTGCCGCGTTGGTCAGTGGCAGCGTTGACAGCGAGTCCCACGGTGTAGATCCATCGAGAAGCCACGGGTGAAGCCCGTGGAGCCTCGGCTATCAACGTTGGCCTGGCGTCAGGTGACTGGGCGATTTCAACCCCGTCCGGCCAGACCTCACGGCTGCTTCCTGGTTGAGCTGCGTCAGTTTCGAGGTTCTTTTTGGCATGGTGCTGTGTTGGACCTCTGCAATTTGTCAGATCTGGGACGGATGGGCGAAACAGGAAAGCTGTCATGGCTTAGACCATGCCGCCCGAGCATGTAGTTTTAGGAGGGATGTGGTTCGGAATCCTGCAATCCTTTCCAAAATGCTGTCGTCACATCGTTGTCGATCACAAGCACGCAAAGTAGACTCGCGCTCTTGCAAGCGATGCCCGCCCAGCAGTGGTGGCAGATTCGTTCCAAGAGCAGGTCGTGGGTTGGACGCTGCGCGTTTTTTTTTTTTCTTCTTCAGTGATCGCGACGGTATCCTTCCGTGTGCCGTGGTCAGTATGCTTTGCGCATAAGCCAGACTGGTCATCGATCCTTGGATCAGGAGATTGGCAACGGCGAGCTTCCCCCGTAGCTTATACAGCCAATCTTCTGACCACTGCCATTCTGACCACGGCCAAGATGGCAAATGTGCTTATCCGCTTTCCCTCTCACAGCGATTGCTTAAAGCCTGACTGCTGTTGCCGAGGGTGGCCGGTTCCAGTGCCGTCGTTTCAGATTTCGCGCTTCCAGCTATGGAGGCCGGGAGATGGCTATGACCGCTGCATGGTCATCCTCTTTTTTTCCCATGCGAACAGAGTCGATAAATGGCCCTCAGTTTCACCCACGTGTGACCTCACTCGTTTCGCCGGGCAACCGTTTTAACGCAGGCGGCAAGTCGCCTCAGCCTTTTGTGTTCACAGGTGTTTCTGCGAAAGCACTTCACGAGGCAGAGCATGGCTCATGTGCTCGAGAGCAACAAGTAGACGTATGCAGCGTATTGGCCTCCAAGAGTCGCTTGGACCGCGACTTGTCCAAAGCTCAGGTGGGAAAAGGCTCTGGCAAGTGCCATGCGGCCTTCAAGGTCTCCCAGCTCCCTGCCGGAAAAGGTCTCTGGGATTGAATGCAGTGAAGAATTCTGAGTTGCCTTGCCGAGTCAAGAGAGAGAGAGAGAGAGAGAGAGAGAGAGCGCATTCTGTGGAGGGCTGTTAGAACAATAGATCCATGGCCCCGGATCAAACTTTCGGTTCCGGCTCTGTTTGGCGTTCTGGACACTTTCGTTCGTATCCTCGGGTCCGCCACCAGGCGAGCCAGGCAAAGGCGAGCCTCAGCCCGCCAGGCGTTTGGGCGGAGGAGCCGTTCGTCCATTGAAATTCGTCCATTGGCTCATGCATGCTTGGGCCAGTCATTTTTTTGGGGTCTTCCCTCCAGAATGTGGATGAGAAGAAGAACCTGGCGGGGAGCAACGTAGCGTTTGGAAGTTGGCCATCCCACGCTTTCCGTTGGATTTTGTATATAGTGTTGACCAATGGGTTCCTGAAGGGTAGATGCCATGTGCGTGCCATGCTGGGCTCCCTAATGCTAAACACAGGAGTTCCGGATCATGAGCCCCCGAAACCCTAAGCGTCAACTCCAAACCATATGGCAACCTCTCAAGGCTCAAGTCAAGTAGTACAGTCTGCCTATCGTTTGCCAAGTTTTTACGCTTCCACAGCCATGTGTTTCCGCTTTCTCCTGGTGCTCCTGGGCCTCTGTTCTGCTCTGCGACAGTCGCAGGTGACCAAAGATGCGGAGGCGGCGAAGGAGTGGTGGCACTGCCGGTGTGACGGTAAACATGTGACCAGCTTCACTACGGAATCGGAGTGCGATTGGCGCTGCAGAGCACGTTGCCCAGACTCAAAATGGATGTCGTGCCATGTGGAGGTGGCTAGTTACGTCTCAGACTCCGACGAGGACGACTACTAGTAGCTACGAGCTGCATTCCATTCAGTTGAAGGACGCTCAGAAGGGAATGCGCCATGCATTGCTTGGGTGATCTCGTCGCAAAAAGGGCAGCGTGTGTTTTTTTTTTGTAGGCTTGGCTTTGCTCGCACTTCGTCAATGTCTAGCTCTTTTCTTTGGTTCGGTTTGAATTTCGCCATGGCTCCTCCGGCTTAGCCGCGCTGTGAACTAGCTCCACGAGCTGGAGTGTGAGAGCGTAAACCAGTTTTCCGGTGCTCGATGTGGCGTCATGCCTTGCGGTGCTCGATATCAATGGGGCCAGAACAAGGGGATAAGGGTTGCTACAAGGTCCAATTCAGAGTCCTTAAAAATTAGACTAGGTTTTTGGGGTCCATTATAGCATGTACAAGTAGAATAGGGAGTATCAGGGGTTAGCAATTATTCCGACGCGTATAGAAAGCATGTCAGTCGGATTCCCCCTTTGGGGTGCTACTTGGCCCCGCGCCTAGCGCGGATTCTCCACAGGCCAGCGTCACCGGCCCTGGTTGGACAGATGAGCTGGCCCGGATTTTCGATCCACGGGAGGAGGGGTGCGGAGCCCGGGTGCGGGGTGGTGAAGTCGAGTCGGCGAGACCACGCCTTGAGCTCTGAAGTAGCCACCGAAGCACATGTCATGTGATTTCTGATTTGCCTGTCAAGGAGCTTGCCGGTGTTTGATTGCTGGCCGCTGGCTGTTGGGTTCGTTGCCTGTGCGTCATTTCCATGGGCTCTCACACGAACACACATCCCAGACTGAGTTCGACTTGTTGTTTCTTGGAGTACCCTCCACGTGCTGTCCCCGATTGGTGGGTAAGACACGTGCGGTTGTGATGTGGTTGCCCTTCAAGAAGCCCTGTTTGGCTACCCGACTTGCCAGCATCAAGACGTAGCATGTACACACACACACACCTGCTAAATATGTATACAATATACACACATTGTTTTCCATTGTGTATATCTATGTGTAGATTTACACAATATATATATATATAGTTTTATATGATATACAATGTATATATATATATATAATACGATCTATATACTAACATATATATATATACACGTACATATGCATATCTCCATCTACATAAGCCGAGCTCATTTTCTTTCCGAGCCTGCTCATGTCATTTGGGGCTGCAAAATGAGCCGAGGCCCGAGTGGAACGCGCAGTTCGGGTACTCCGGGAGGCCCAGGCTGAGGCTGCTGCTGGATGCCGAGGAGCCGATTTTGCTTGGTGCGGCCGTGGGAGAGGTGGAGAGCGGGGAGAGGGAGCGAGAAGCGGGCATCGGTGTCCTTTTGGAGCTGGGCTAAAACATAGATGGGTTCCGCTGGCTTAGATGGGTTTTGTTCCATTTGCCAGGGCCATCGTTTTTTTCTTTTTTAAGGCCACTTGTGGTGAGAAGTGGAGTCTGACGTCAGGAAAAGCCGGTCCGACGGGTGCTTTCCTTTAAGGGGACCTTCATTGTCACGACGCCCGGAAGGTCAGTCCCTTCCTTTTAGCACCAGCAAGTTCCTTTCGGTTGGCGTTGAGGTCTGAATCAGAGTTGCGATGCCTGGCTGTGTATGGGCTAGAACTCAACCGAAGGCCAAGTCAGAATCCACGGACGGGCTTTGGCCAAATGCGCTTGCTGAGCTCTCCAAGTCTGCTTGGAGCGAGTCCCCCCGCAAGGAGATGCCGAGATTCCAGTGTTCCTTTAGAACTAGATGCATATTACATATCACAGATAGGGCTGCCATGCTTGTTTGTATTTGCCGCTGTTGCGATTGCAAACCAGTTGTGCCAGTGTTTGAGAGAGCCAAGTTAAAGCAAGCAAGCCTGAAGCATTCAAGAACGTCACAGACAGGCGGCAGTTCAAGAACCTTCCGCGAAATTCAGTCCAATCCAACGGTGCGTGGGAGAGAGCGAATGATCGTTCCACTCAGATTTGCTCAGTGAGTCTTCGTTCAACTTCGGCTCAGAGACTCTGAGTCCGGGTCCGTTCCCCTGAAAAGACTGGGGGCTGCACATGTTTCAGGACATTTGCCACTCCTATGCGAAGGCTTGACCGGGTGGGGAAGGATTCTCTCCTGCACCGCCAGGCTTTTTTGAGTCGCGCATGTCTGTCCCAGGGGCGTAGTTGTCCAATGTCTATTCAAACGCGAAACGCTTCTATCTATATATTGAAGCTGAACGCGGGGGAGAGTGCTGACAACGCAACAGTACATAGCAGTATAGCCACACGCAACAAGAAACGCGCGCACACACTGCACGAACAACCACAACATCATCCACGATGACGAGGATGACAACGACGACGACGGCGACAACGACAAGAACAACAAGTATAACAAGAACAACAAGAACAACAAGCACAACAAGAAGAAGAGGAGCAACAACAACAACAACAACAACAACAACAACAACAACACAACAACAACAACAACAACAACAACAACAACAACAGCGGCAACAACGGCAACAACAGCAACAACAACAACAACAACAACAGCAACAATGAAAGCAACAATAACAACAAACAGAACAACAACCAG